TGTAGCGGTAGCGGTAGCGCCCGTTACAATCTAGTGGGTGTAGCGGTAGCGGTAGCGCCCGCTACATTTAGAGCATGTAGCGGTAGCGGTAGCGCCGCTACATTTCCAAGTAGCGCTGCCCAGCTCTGGCGGTGAGTGTCGCAGTGCACTAACAGCCCGGCACACCGCTCCTCTCATATAATCTGGGCGGTGAATGTCGCAGTTCAATTACAACACTGCACTGATCTAGCGACACGTAAACTATGAACTCAGCGTCTAGGACGTCAGGGTGAATAGTCTGGTGATGCAAATTGAGCAATTAGAACATCAGGATGGGTACTCTAGCGATGCAAGCTCGGCGTCGTGGGCATCACGGTGAATAGTCCGTTAATGCAATCTCGGTGTCTAGGGCGACAGAAATAATACTCAACTCTACTGATTCAAACCTCAGTGACAAATATATAGGATCAATTCAACCTCAGCGTTTACCCTGATCCTTCACTGGCAATTTGATTAGCAACTTGGAGTATTTGTCTTTGACGATTAAACTTTACATCCAGGAATTACAATTTACTGTCATCTCAAGCTTCCCAATGCAACGTGTAGTATTTTTGTTGCAGATGTTCACGGTCATCAGTAAAGGGAAGGATATCTTCAGATTTTCAGCCACAGACGCCCTGTGGCTGCTCAGCCCCTTCAGCCCCCTCAGACGCACCGCCATCTACATCCTCATTAACCCCTTGTTTAATTTCTTCATCATCTGCACCATCCTCTCCAACTGCATGCTTATGATGAGACCTTCCACGGAAGTCATCGAAGCCTCCGAGTGAGTTCACCAACTGGGGTAAATTAAGCTCAGCAGTTGTAGATTTCCATAAGTTTTAATCGTGCGTAATCTGCTCCTGCAGTTCCCTATAATAATAGAGACCGACTTTTAAAACATAAATGCTGATGTCTTCTTGATTGTTCGTTTATAGTTTCGTTAAAATATGAAAGTTTTGTAATTTATTTAATACGGGTATTGTTTATCTCTTGATGATTCAGGTATTGTTTTATCTTGATTATCTATCGGCTTGTCTTCCGTATCGGAAAAGTTGTCCGGGACTTTTCGTTCAGAATTTATCACTTTCAATATTTATTCGTGACCGCATATCAATTCGAGGCCATGCAATGTGTGCACAGAGTGCTCTTCACTGCAATTTATACCTTCGAGTCCGGAGTAAAAGTGATGGCCAGAGGGTTCATCCTGGAGGGCTTCACGTACCTCAGAGACGCCTGGAACTGGCTCGACTTCGTCGTCATAGCCCTGGCGTAAGTAGCTCATCTTAATTGTACGTGTAAATGTAAGTCATGAACTCAAACGTCACTAGCAAAATTATCGTTCTCTTTATTCTTATATATTAGATTTCTCTTACCAGTCATTTACGGGCCAATGGCTTGGTTATATTATCCATTTTACCGGCATAATGAAAGTTATTCTTATATTCTTATATTTTTCCTGCCGTGCAGCTACGTGACGATGGGTATCGATCTCGGCAACCTGTCTGCCCTCAGAACTTTCCGCGTACTAAGAGCCCTCAAAACAGTCGCCATCGTGCCCGGTCAGTGGTTGTCCCTCTCAGAAATAATGGGACTGAAGGTCCCACGGCTTACCCAGTGAAAATTTACAGACGCGGCAGCTTCTGATTCGGATTACCAGAAGCTGGGGCGACTCTAAATTTTAATAGGGTAGTAGCGCGCGGAACCAAGTTTGGACTAATTTTCTGCTGTGTCAGGAAGTTTTAAGAATTAACCTAGGAATTGAAGCATCATCTTCATTGTGGATTAGCAGAGTGCAAATTCGAAACGAATTACTTTAAATATTAAACTCATGTTTAGATGATTGCCTTGCATATTAGAGCATAATTCGTACAAGTTTGGCCTAAACAAGGTCGTGTTACACTCACAATATCATGGCAAGTAGTTGATATTACCAGGATGGAAACAAGCATTGGATTTGTCGGCGTATTATATTAAAAAATGACATTTCGTACGCCAGGTTTTAAGATTTTGAGTAAAATCAATGAGCGTTGTCTCATACTACGTTAACTAATGCTCACCGGGCTTGATGAACATTATGAAGTCGTAATCCCTTATCTCGCTAAGCCTCCTGTTTTATCCAAGATTATCTTGCGTTCAACAGGCCTGAAAACCATCGTGGGAGCTGTGATAGAGTCAGTGAAGAACCTGCGAGACGTGATCATCCTGACGGTGTTCTCTCTGTCCGTCTTCGCGCTGCTAGGTCTTCAAATTTACATGGGCGTCCTCTCGCAAAAGTGCATTGTAAAGTTTGACTTCTCCAGAGAAAACTGGACGCACGAAGAATACTTTTTACATAACAATAATTCATGTGAGTGTAACCCTGAGTTAGCGGCATATAGTAAATTACTGTAGTGTTTTCTTTCTTGAATAATATTCTCAACCTGTTAGTGAGTCTCGTAATTATTTAGGAAAATATGTTTCGTCCGTTTGTCGTTTCTCTTCTCTTTTTCCCCCAAGTTGAATCGTGAATGCAAACTTCCATATTGCAACATTTAACAATTATTTTGAGTATACGGAAACTGACTTAAATCAAATGGTCTGGTCTTTTGTAGTAGAAGTTTTTCTAAATTTATAGCACAAGTTTCGTTCACCTTTAACCTAAAAAAGAAATGTTCAGATTGGAGAGAGTCTTAATGAATTTCCATGCATTTTGGATTGTATTATTTATGTTCACTTGTATCTTTGAGGTGATAATAATCATGACGTAACATCTTTTATGTCTTCCCCAAATTTGTCTCTTTTCTTCTTCTATCTATATCACTGTAGATTTTACTGTAAGGCATACCTAAATATAAATATGTAAATACATTTAAATAGCTCTTACAATGTGAGGCGAAATGAGGTTCTTCATATAAGCGACGTCGATGTTGATCAATTAACATGGAAGCGATATAACTGTTATGAACGTCGTCATTTCATGCGTCTACTTGAGACTAAAATGTTGCAGCAGTCGATCTCATGATGGAAAGAGCTCGTTGTTCTCTAATCTATTGCTGTGAATTTAGATATTTTCCGTGGTAGTAATGTAAAAGTATGCATGGACTAGAGCTCATCACAATTCCTTAGAACACAATAGATGGTAATTAGATTAATAGATCTCCTCAATTTCCAATACAAGATTACAAGATTGATAAAAAAATTATTGATGCCTTCTCTACGTCATTGTTTTTGCGGTCTTGTGCCATTTGAAAAGCAAAGCCTGTAAAGTTACGCAATGTTACGTAAAGATTCGTGTAGAGTAACGTTAAGATACTTTTAAAGTTACGTAAAGATACTTTTAAAGTTACGTAAAGATACGTGTAAAATTACGTAAAGATACGTGTAAAGGTACGTAAAGATACGTATAAAGTTACGTAAAGATACGTGTAAAGTTACGTAAAGATACGTGTAAAGTTACGTAAAGATTCGTGTAAAGTTACGTAAAGATTAGTGCAAAGTTGCGTACAGATACGTGTAAAGTTACGTAAAGATTCGTGTGAAGTTACGTACAGATACGTGTAAAGTTACGCAGAGATACATGTAAAGTTACGTAGAGATACGTGTAAAGTTACGTAAACATACGTGTAAAGTTACGTAGAGATACGTATAAAGTTACGTAAAGATACGTGTGACGTTACGTAAAGATACGTGCGAAGTTACTTAAAGATCTGTTTAAAGGTACGTAAAGATACATGTAAAGTTACGTTAAAGATTCGTGTAAAATTATAATGCGCTCCGTTAGTAAGCAAAAGCTGCCTCGTATTGACCGTAGGGTCTCGAGGCGACGTTTAGCGCACCAAAAGCTTGAATTAGTCGGTCGCGCGACCAGGTCATGTTATTATATTTTCACTCATGAAGCCGTGCTGCGTGGTGGAATGATTCACGAATTTATTCTGAAGCTCTAGGTGAATTGGAAGCGTACGAAAATTAATTTCACGTAGTGCTTGGTCAAATGGTCAAATTAGCAATCAATTATTTTCTACGTCACGTAAAAATGTTAATTGTTGCGAACTTATTATTGAAAAAGACAATGGACAAGTTAACAAATATCGGCTTCAGCCAACTATCAAATGACGAAGATAATTTTTATCTATCGAACTTATAACGCGTTTAGCCGATTAGCAAGGAAATCGGCATTTACGTTGTATTGTGCTTGTCTACATAATTCCAGATAAAATCTTGTTTGCGCTGTAGGGAGTTTTTGTGTTTTTTGATTCATGAATGATGGTTCATTTTGTTCCCGAAGATTCAAATTAAATCGGGCGTAGCAGAGGGCATCAATAGACTACGCGTTCAATATAAAACTAGTAGATTAACATGAATTAAGTTTTGATGAGAAACGCTCACAGAACATTTTTGCGGGTGGAAACTTAGTCTTCGAGAAATAAATATTATGATCTATTAACTATTGGAGCTTGTGAAAAGAGAACCAATAATGTGTGAATGATTATTACTGCTTGTGACACGTCCTAAACTAGCAGAAGTAACTAGGTGTACTAGGATTACTCAAAAGTGGCATGCCGAGATTTTTGCCTCTGTCTAACCAGAGAGAAGCCCAGTCTGCCTATTACTGAGGCAAAGATTTTTCTAGATGGAAATCCTCGTATTTTTGAGTGGTGTTCTAGTATGGCTTAACTCGCTAAGTTTTCCTTGAATTTGATTATCTTGCAGCTCATTGGATGTCGTCTGAAGATGACTCTAGCTTCTACCCATTATGTGGCAACAGTAGTGGCGCAGGGTAAGCTGCTCTAATCCTACTTGTCTGCGTCCGAATTTTTTTATTCTTATTTTATTTTATTCTCATTTTACTTTATTTAGTTATTTATATCAATTTTCTTTCATCTGCGTGTGCTGCTGCTGCTGCTTCGCCACACCTTTTCCGCATTTCAGTGTGTATTTAACGTCCACCTTCTCACGACTTCTCTTTTCACGACTCTTTTCCCATATCTACACCCACAATGCGAGTGCATCTTAAATGCACCAGAATTTGTTATGGAGACTGAAGTGCAACAAGGTTTTAAATTAAATCACCGAGAACGCCGTACTTCTGTTCTTGCATTGGTTCATCGACTCACCCGGGTCCATCATTTCTTGCGGTTCTTGCGCTAGCAAACGCCATTAACGTCTCGAATTTGTGGAACATCAAACTTACTTTTTCAATTTGTGAGTACCAACGATACCAACTCCTGCATAGACATGGAGAATGTCATTGATTCATAAGATTCTCTGTGAACTGCTCACAGATGCTCGTTCACTCATGTGAGGTGGGGGAATGAAGATTCAGTGTTGGATTTGATTTATGACTACATATCAGGAGGAGGAGCGATGTAACTGTTCAAACTGTTGCGCACTGTTAGGAAGTGAAGCAAGGTTGTCATTTGATCAGGATTTTCCATCTTATTAACAGTTTGCTTGCGAGTCTAGATGTGTTTATGTGAGTCAGCTTTTTTGCTTAGCTTATTTGGCCGGAATTCCAATCTTGCTCACTACATCACACGCACGTAGCACTCCAAGCGAGAGTTATCTCTTGGTGTAAGTATTACTTTCAACACGTTGGTCTTTACTGAAGATTTTTACGGCGTTATTTCCCCAGTTAGGCTCATACTTCATGTAGAACACTAATAATATCTGAGCTTTGTTGTTCATCTAATTCATTATTTCACTTCTCTTTATTGCATGAAATGTCTTCGGAATTCAAGCAGCCGCCTCATCAACATTAGTCACGCTCTATCATCTGCGAGACGTTCGATCAGCGCTCGGTATTAGCTATGCAAAACATTCTACTGACACTCACACGTCAAGTCGTCTCATTGAACTGCTTTTTTTGTAACTCATTTCCTTCCTGTTGCTCACCAAGTTATAATATTCGAAATAATTTGTCGTCGAGTATCTAATTATCATCAGCATTCCTCATCAGCTATTTCGTACGACTTGACCGCACCGCTTTACGGCTGTCCTGCTTTATCTTCAATATCGTCTGGCACTTCGGTTACTGCTTTTGAGTTTACTTTTGTTGACTCCTTGCAATTTCTGGTTGATCCTAGTGTATTGTTTTTGTATTACCATTCAGTCGCTCAACTGAATTGCAACGCTTGATTGTAACTTATTTCCGACAGCTCCATTCGACCAGAACGGACTGATCCATCGGTCTGCGCTGAACGTCGTTTTAAATCACGCATGTTCAAATGATGTGCAATAAAACGTGATGAAGTCTAAGTAAGGTTAATTTAATCTAATTCGAGGGACATTTCCCTCATTAAAATAACATTTATGAAGAAGGCGCAGCGGCAAGGCATTGCAAACCCTTGAATTAAAAATTCATACATATACTTTCTGTAAAATCTATGAAAGAATTTTTGAGTAAGAGGATTTTGGAGTACTTATACATGTTTTGAAACAACGTCTGACTAACGCTTGTAGTTTTACTTTCTTGAAATTGTTAATACCTGGCTTTTTAAATTATTTTTTAGCTTATTTTCCGATTTAATCAAATTTTCAACGCGAAGAATTTTCATCTTTCAATATTGAGGATAATGGTTCCCATTATATTTTGATATAATGTTTCCCATTATTTTTTATACTTAAAACTACATCGCTGTGTGAAATTTAATGCCATCACTTTCGGAAAAACAGATTTTCTTTGATCTGCTTATCCCCTCCCAAGACTTCGTTTTTAATTACTTCGTGTTTTTCCTTATACATGCACTTTCAGAACTCCAGACTCCATGTCATCTTTTCATTTTCATTGCGCATGGCATCAAAGAATTCACTACGCATTGCGCACGACGTCGTTGAGTGAACTGCGCGCATTGCGCACGACTTCGAGGAGTTCACCTCATGCATACGCACGACATCCAATAGTTCAGTGCGAGCATTGCGTACATTGAATAATGTACTGCGTGCATGGCGTATGTCCTCGAAAGTGCATTGCGTTCATTGCGCACGACATAACAAGAAAGGCGTTCATTTTAAGTGATAAATAACTAAAATATCGTTAAACTTCTTGAATAAAAGCTTAAAATTCTCGAATAATTCACTTAATTCATACATGAATATGACTAATTGACGTGCTTGTAGCGCATTTAGTTTATAAACAACATTTTTGCATAATGCATCCATTTTTTACAAAGTATGAACAAAGTCGTGTGCAAATTATCTTATTGGCGTCTGTCAATTGAACCGATATTTATACATTGAATAGTGAGTATATTGACCTCGATTAATGTATTTTTAACGTATTTTAGGGTTCGTGTCACATGTAGGCTGGCATAATTAGGAAGGTATTTGATTTTATTCTGCTGCCGTTGTTAATTTTTAACTTTTGATTGTTTCCTCTGAACTGCTTGCCTCTGTTACTTTCTCTGCTTGTCTGTTCCCTGATTATTCTTCATGAATGCTTCATGTTTTCTGCACCTCAAGTAGCTGCGTGAAACTGTGTTTTTTGCAGTCCTATTAAGAAACTTGTTAAACCTTTATATTAGTAATTGTAGTCGACCATAGTCTTAGTCGAACAATATTCTTCAGATGACGTTGGTTGATCAAAATGCAGGTTAGAAGAAGTAACTTTAATTTATTAATGACTTTTCTAATGTGACAAAATTCATTTTCAAGTTATGGGAAACGGTGAATACAGAAATTTTGGCAGAAATAAGTACATGATACACGTAAATATAATACAACAAGAAAATTTGGAACCGCGAACAAAACTACGACATCTCAAAGTTCAGAAAATCCGGTAGATGGTTCTGGTGGGTTCCTCCAGCACAGTGCGAGTGACCGTCTCGTTGCGATGGACGTTTTCAAGAGCGCGAATCTATATGCGAATCTTGAGATGAATTTACTCGATTACAATGCTTTGAGACCTGGTCTGGTTACGAGCTTGTCACAGGTGGCAGTATAATCGGTTGCTTACTGTCGATATAGTTACATACTTTTGAGTATTTGGAGTGACTAATACGACATTGAGCAGTTTATCTCGCCTCATGAGACAAGCTCGCAACCAGACCAGGTCTCAAAGCATTACAATCGAGCAAATTCATCTCAAGATCCGCGATGAATTCAACAGGCTTCATAACACTCTTGACAACGTCAAACTCAACGAGACAGTCACTCCCACTGTGCTGGAGGAACCACCGGATTTTCTGAACTTTGAGATGTCGGAGTTTTGTTCACGGTTCCAAATTTTCTTGTTGTATCAGATTTACGTATATCATGTACTTATTTCCACCAAGAGTTCTGTATTCACTGCTTCCTATAACCTGAACATGCATGTTGTTACATTCGAAACGTCGTTACTAAATTTAAATTACTTCATTAAACCTACATTTTGATCAACCAACGTAACCTGAAGAATTGTTCGACCCTGCAAATTTAAATAAATGAATTCTCTGGTCACTATCTGCCCGTGTCTAAACAAGCTTATTCTGCCATCTAAAACATTTTTTAATCCTTAAATTCCATTTTAAAGAATAATTTTTACAAGTATTAATAATGCGCACCTTTTATCTCTATCATGTAGACAAATTACTATAAAACAACCATCCATTGTATCGACGTTACAAGAACATTTTTCGGAGACACAGATTTTTTACGTCTGTTGAATATTTTCTTTAGAGATTAAAATTTATTTTGATTCCTTTTGTCCTTGAAGGTCCTTTTCATATAGATCCTAACGAGTAACCCACGTAGATGTCACCAATCAAGACGTCGTAAGTCTTCGAATGGTGCAAGTCAAATGATTAATCAATTTTTTCCATCCTATACGTTGTGAAATATTGGTGAAATCGAAACCAAATCACATCGGCGCCGGGAGAAGGATTACAAGTTATCGAAAAAAGACAACATAAATTAATATTTCCTCGAACCTTTCTCATGCCGTGACCTTCACTAATCCCATAAAATTAAATACCCTGTTCACAGTTCAGCCAGTTTTACTTGCGAAAAATCTTCGCATTTCGTGTTTCTGAGACCGACTGAGAGAGGTCACCTAGGAGTCGTTAAAATTATTTTCCGCGAAGTGACTCGACGAGCTGTGAATGACCGACATATTTTATCGTCGTAAATAAATCACTGATTTTACGATTAAGGTTGCGTAATTAGCGATGGAAATTCGGTCATTATTTATTTTATGGCTACTCCCCTTAGTATGACTCCCCATGTCCATATATTCGCAAAATTGCCGATTATTCTCATCTGATTTCTTTTACTAGCATTTAGAGTGTAACCTACCGTTCCCCACATAATATACACTTGTCTAAGAAAGTGATGGATGATTATGTTGGCAAGTTCTGTGATGTCTCCAACAATGATCATGTATCCTGCCTGCAGTCCCTCTAATTCGGTGATCAGTATGTACACCCTCCAATATATGGGAAATAATTTCTCCGATAATCTACGGGAAAAAATTCTTCATCAGTGTATAACCACGATAAATCTTACCTTTCTAATCTATTTACTTCCAGAGATCAGAGATCTCAATAACAATATCACTTACTTCATATTTCTGTAATGGCTGTGATCAAAAATATTCATGCAATTCACCTGGTTTGGTGTCGGTGAAGTTTACTTAGGAATAATTTTTCCAGAATAATGACTTTTAATTTTAATTGTTTCTCATCTTACCATCTCTGAAGTAACAACGCTATTGGGGAGCATAATATTTGTGTCGGTGCAGGCAATGCCCGCGGGGATTTTTGTGTCTACAAGGCTACGGACCCAACCCCGACTACGGCTACACATCCTTCGACAGCTTCTCCTGGGCACTCCTCTCCGCCTTCAGACTCATGACGCAGGACTACTGGGAGAACTTGTACCAACAAGTGAGTCATGATGAGTTATTTATATTCTACGTTATCTATATTCAATAAATTAGATTGTTGGTCATTTGGTATTCTTTCATGCAATGAACTCCTATAAATCATCGGATACGAAACGGTCCATTGTTCTAAGAAGTAATCCACCAAACTATTTTTTGAAGTTACGATTAATTCTAATAGAATTAGAGGAAGATTTATAATTATTTATATTCATATACCACGCATCTCAAATTGACTTATTGTCAAATAAGTTTTGTCACAGTCAATTTGCCAAAATATTGTCAAATAAGTATCGTGGGTTAGTTAGTGTCAATATGCAACGAATAAAGGAGCGGTTCGTCCTATATTTCCGCTACATTTCATTCACTTATACTATGATGTTTCAAAAGTATACAATTTTCGTATAATTTCGATGAATGCGATAAAGAAATTACGTCTAAAACCGACACTATATATGATTTAATTTTGTAGTTGAACAACCTAGCTTACCTAGGTGAATGAGGTTATAAGCGTTCATGTAGCAGGATACGACGGCATTTTCTAGAACTTGCTGTTAATCAATGTGTTCACAGCGTTTCGAGTCGTTTAAAAATATTAAAGATAAGGAAATATTCCATGTGAATGGCTTAAAGACGACCTGAATAGCTACTATAGATCTCCTAGAGATGGTATACGTTGAGTCACGGCCGGGTTGGGCCACAGCGCAAGTGCAAGTTAAAGGGGACGAGTCAGGCCTGCTGCAGCTGCTGTTTCGCCGTCCCGCATTACGCGGTATCACATTAAACTGTGTAATTTCAATTAATTATATTCAGTCATACTTTTTGTTAGTTTGGGCTCCGATTTTAACTCAATTTACTCCATAGTGAAATCCTCTTGATGTCATTACAACAAGTACCCGTACTAGATTCGTAGCAGCTAACGTTAAATATATGTCATAGCAGTTTATCCTACGCGATGTACTTATAGCTGCTGTGGCGTGCCTGCCTCGGTAGGGGCTCTATCCTTCGCAACCATTATTTTAGCCAAGACGCGCATCTTAAAACTTTTTACTGCTTCATTAGTTTAAATTCTTTCGAAACGAACACTCGCCGTGTGTAGGAAAAATTATTCTTCGTCAGTTCATTGTCTCTTCGTTAAATCTTCGAAATTGAACTCGGTATTCAGTAATCAATTGAGCTGGAAACGATTATTTTGAACACGCTCTCTCCTAACCCCTATATACCTCTAAAGTTTCAGACAACGAACTAACTTGCAAAAATGTATAGACGAGGGGCGATCACGGCTTTGTTCAGAATTGGATCACTGAGATTCAAAAATCCCGTTATCAAATCCTGTTCAAATTACATATTTAACACAAGCCCCGTTTTGCGGCGCTTCCAACTTTAACCTTCACAATGAATTTTTTTACTCAGGTAGTATTTTTAATTGATATGTATTGTAGAGACCCAAATAGCACCTTTATTCGTGCAGTTTTAGGTTTTCAATTCGCAAACTTACTTGCAAGATTCCTAAAATATATAATAGGCAAGCAGCTTATAATTCATTTCTCGGGAAATATAATCCATTAGATTAAAGAGTCGCATTCTCTCTAAGCCCGTCGATAATTTCTGAACTAAAATGTAAATATAAGAGAGACCATTTCAACCCTCTTTAATTAACTTCGAACTCTCATCCAACTCCCGTTATGAAATTTGAAGCAAACTTTAGTTTTCTACTGAATACAATTTACACTTACCTAATTTGAAAACAGTTTTCATTTTAATTCAATTCAAATACCCCAGGTGCAGTGCCTCAAGAATCCGCCAGAAAAAGTAAAATGTAAGGTCTACACGATAGTTATTGTATCGTGTCTTTTCCGACACGATAGTTATTGTATCCAGGCCCTAAAACACTGACTTATTTTTAATACATAAATTTACAGCGCCAGGCTTCAAAGAAACTCTCATAAATATGTAAAAACTATTATAACTGTTCATTGTATTTGGCGGCTCCAGGTGTTGAGAGCGGCAGGGCCATGGCACATCGTGTTCTTCCTGTTCATCATCTTCCTGGGGTCCTACTACCTGGTCAACCTGATCCTGGCCATCGTCGCCATGTCCTACGACCAGCTCCAGAAGAAGGCGGAGGAGGAGGAAGAGGCAGCATTAGCAGAAGAAGAGGCCATCAGAGTGAGAAATATTCATTTTATTCCATTTGTATGCATTATATGCTGGTGCATATAATGCACCAGCATGTCTATAATGGAAGTCAACATCCTAAATTCCATATATATCGTGGTTAGTATAAAATTTCGTGTGTTCGCACACTGAAAGCGATTCTTCCGAGAAGATCTGAGTTTTAATTATTCTCTTAGCATTTGTCCGCCAAGTTATCTGGAAGTTTCTCAGGACATAAGCGTAGCTATTTTATATCAAGAATCCGTCTGAGTTGTTGCTGCTTTAGTTTCTTTATTAATTCTATTTGCCGAGTGCTGACGCTTGGAAGTTTTTTGATGCCGTCGCAGGAGGCCGAGGAGGCGGCAGAGGCGGCCATGAACCGCGCCACGGCAGGCCACGGCCGCCCTCCCGACGACCTGGGAGGAGACCCTGGCAGCATCGCCAAAAGCCCCTCCGAGTTCTCGCGCGTCTCCTACGAAATCTTCGTCAGCCAACGAGACCTCGATGAAAACAAAGAGAAAATATCCCTAAGAAGTGAAGGAGGAGAGTCCATAAACGAAACCAAAGCCAGAACCAAAGGAAGAAAGGTAAGAAAATACTCGACCACTTTTCCTTGAAAACTTGAATTTGGTGAAATATTTTTTTACGCTTGAAATAGTAGTTGACACGAAACATGCTATCGCCAAGAGTGAATATTCATCACAAAAACATATTTAACAAAGCTAGCCTACTTTCATCTAGCACTCCTCTGTGTGAGGGTTCCATTCGTTGCTTGGATATGAATATTATATTTTAAGCGAATATTACGTGTTGTCTCTCATACTGCACACATCACTTCATCGGAGATAACCTAAAACTAAGTTGATGGTAAAACCTTTAGGATGTTTATATCATAATGCACATGAGGTACAACATAAAGTATGTCTCCCAATTTTGTGATACATGCCCTAACCCCGTTTATGATTAACTTTAAATGCACTTAAAAGTGCATACGTTACTGAGTGGTATTGAGTAATGCCCCCATTTGAAGCCCCCATTTAGCTAGAGTGATGAGTAGAGTAGAGCGTGCCGGTGCTACCACTCGTACCGGCCTACTTTCTCCGTAGCGAGTAGTCTGTCTAGGGCATAGCTAGTTTCTGTTATGGCTCCTTATAGTCCTAGAACAATTTTAGATCGTTTATTCTTCAGGAATGTCTATTTCTCAATTAAATCTTTACTAAAATTATCGAAAAATATATTTCTAAGACACTTCTTATCAATATAAGACAGAAATATTTACTTGAGACCGAGTAATAGAATTTAGTCATTGTATTAACCGACGAAGGAAATTTATTTGAAGACAAGTAAGAATACAAATATTTGTTTTAGATTTTCCCAAGGAAGTACAGGATTAAGCGGCGGTAAATCTAATATTTTGGGAAATTTTGCTTAGCTTGCAACATGGAACTCCAGTTACTTCATTTATTGGGCTTGATATTAAAAGACGCTATAATTAATTATATCGATTAACTCAAAATTTGTTACGAGATAAATTGCAATTAAAATTATTCTTTATTATTGTGTCCACATACCTATTCTTCAGTTCATTTCCTGTGTCTCTTTCCGACAATGATTCCATGTATCAAAAAGGTACTATATGCTTTAACGACAGGATTTAGCTCACACATGTCGCAAAAAGTCCTAACTTTATCCACAAAAGTCGACCACATACTGCAATAACTCAGTCATTTTGTAGGTGGAGAGAAACTAAAAATTTAAATATAACAAAGCACTATTCTCAGTAACAATATGAATGAAATTTGCGACTATTACCATTTTAAGTGTCTCAATTATCAGTTAATTAAATGCAAATTATTTGTGTTGATTTCAACTTTTTGGAAGTGTATGCGTTTAACGGTTTTAATGAGTTCTATGAAGCCATGATATGCGGGTGTCATCACGTAGTCAGGAACACCACACTGCCATCTTAACTAAGAGGATTGCTGCAACACTGTTATGTTATAACTAAGATGATTGCTATAACACTGTCATGTTAACTAAGAGGATTGCTGCAACACTGTCATGATCACTAAGAGGATTGCTGCAACACTGTCATGATTACTAAGATTATTGCTGCAACACTGTCATGTTAACTAAGATGATTGCTACAACACTGTCATGTTAACTAAGACGATTGCTGCAACACTGTCATGTTAACTGAGATGATTGCTACAACACTGTTATGTTAACTGAGATGATTGCTACAACACTGTCCTATTAACTAAGATGATTGTTGCAATACTGTCATGATCACTAAGATGATTGCTGCAACACTGTCCTATTAACTAAGATGATTGTTGCAATACTGTCATGTACAATAAGACGATTGTTGCAACCCTGCCATGTTCACTAACATTATTGTTGCATTTCACCACTGTTCTCTGATGAGGGGAGAGAGGAGGATGCGTAACATTGGAGATCGCAGAGCCAAGTCTCGGAAAATTCGATGTTTGAGCCTCGGCTTGTCTGTTCCAATTCGCTGTAACGAAATTGTGTTTATTTACGAGTACGTGCCACACAGCTTGTGATGTTGGCTACCGTTGAACAATGGCTCTGAGTTAAATGAGAACGTAGTAGCTCAGTGTATAAAATAGTGCCGTTCGAGAGAAGAAAACGTCTCATTAGTAATCACTTTAAGCTGTCAAATTCTGTGCTGTGTTTTATGTCTATGTGCTGCAGAACATCAATTAATGAGTTGTTCCTGAAAGATTTTCGCTATTCACGCATGATATAATTATATATCAGGTACCATTTGAGAGGAAAGATACTTTGCCAAATGAACGCATTTATATTAGAATAATGAATTAATTATTATCAGATTAATTCATCTGCACGAATTAATTCAAGCGTGGCAACTAGATGCTAAATTTTGTTGAGTAACTTGTGAGACGGCTTTGTGGTGTCCAATGTTAGTTAGAGACTCATCACGGAACCTTACTCACCTTCAATATGCTCCTGTACCGTCACCTTACACTGTTCAATTATATACTTGCTCGTGAGAATGGTAGTTGTTAGTGGGTTAATGTGTTTTGACCTTCGTATACACTGTCATGTCATGTGATGTTTGCTGAAGCAATTGTCTCAACCATTACATTTACACACAATCTTGATGTTCAAACACCACTAATATTGACCATTGAATTGAGGTAACTGATTGCACAGCACTGCACGTTTTTGTTTCTATGATTTGCTTGAGAAAATGAATGGTTTTGTGCATTCGAGACCGACTGAAGCTAAACTGACGGATTCAGCTCTCCTAACGTGCGCCTTTGGCATGCACGCTTCTTAGCGGAATCTTCTAATGCTTCTACTTTCTAAGATGTAGAACTGCATGAGCGGGTCCACGTGCCTGTACGTACCCATCAATGTTGTTACATTCTTTGTGATGGCCTGACCCCCATTTTCATCACTTGAATCTTGGATTCACGAAAACAGCATTCCAAGCTTCAGTTTTTGCATGAAATTTTAATCAATAAATATACTGTACCTTTTGACGTCACTTATCCACAAGTGGGTTCTGTTTGCTACTTGCTTTGATTACTGTACGCTAATTGGTTTGTTTCTTTAGTCAGCTCTTACACTTCATACTTCGATTATTTTAACCGTTGCACACGGACTGTGGCTAGGTTGACCGCACCTTCAGTCCCCTCAAGTCGCTCGAATTCCCTGACAATGCACGTCTCGATCCAGCCCCCTCCCTCCATGTCCAACTAGAGCCCATTTTCAACTCAAAAATTCACTGTTGGGCGTGGTTCTCGAATAGAAGTCATGAAGGCTCTACAATAAAATATGCAACTATGAACACTGGATTAAATCATATTCGTAATCGTAATTTCTGGGAAACTTTTCTAAAATCAAATTTCAGAGTCTGAGGCGACCACACTAATGTAGGTTCTCTTCCATCTTAGCGCCATCGTCCTCATAGCGTGCAAAAGTCAATTCGTCTATATGCTGTTTACCAGGAAACTATTGGTATGCTGAAACAAATTCAATTGAAGCGTTTGGAAGAATTGGTTAGTCGCAATAACGAAAACAGCAAATTTACTCATTGTTTGGTCAAATAAGAGTTCATTAGTGGATGTAAATTCGAATAGGAAATTCAGTATTTTTCAAATCGTTAGACACATTTTCAAAGAGCTTGAAACTTGTAGCTGATAATTCGATCAGTTTTGTTCTTTTGTAAAGTCTGTTAGAAAAATTCATAAATTATTCTCTTTGAGTTAGGTCTTGAGCTACATTTTTTCTCGAAAGATCACAACTTTATTGTGACAGTTCTGAGTGCATGATCGTTGTGAAGTTTCGCATGGCCTTCAGTGTTATAGAAATTCCGACAAGTCATTACTGTGTTATACATGCAACTTATCAGTACAGATCCTTCATTTAAATCATCTCGTGTTATTGTTCGTTAAAGTTTTGGAAGCCAAGGTATAGAATAGCATGAAAGTTGTCTAGTGATTCATGGACAGCGCATGACGTGACAAATTACATTCATTTTATTTGTGGACACGAGGTATCATGTTGATTCAAAATTTTACCTACGTGCATTCCTGTGACGATCATTTTACATCTTAGTTTTGCTTGGGTGAAAAGCTAAGATATTTCATTGTTAACGTATAACCTAGGAAGCAATGAGCGAGAAGTGTTGGTGCAAAATTGGTATCTTGCAGGCAAGCCTCAGTTTACCGGGGTCACCCTTCAACCTGCGACGAGGGTCGCGAGGTTCTCACCAATTCACATGGAGAACAACGAACGGCCGCCGTTTTGGCGACAAGAAGCCTCTTGTTCTGTCCACTTATCTTGATGCTCAAGAACACCTCCCGTACGCTGATGATTCAGCTGCTGTCACTCCAATGTCTGAAGAGAATGGAGCCATCATTGTACCAGTTTATACGAATCTTGGCTCTCGACACAATTCATACACATCACACACGTCGCGTATATCTTACACCTCACACGGAGACCTCCTCAATGGGAAGCCACTCACGAAAGAGAGCCAACTGAGGGCCATTTCTCGCAACACCGCTGCCAACGTACCTGAGGTCATTATAGATTCTTTAGATGACTCCTATTGTGTGAGTAGAGATGAGTAGCAATCGTGCACGAACTCTGCGCTCAGTCTGCTCTTGCTTGGCCGATCTCTTAGAAGCGGTCGTTCAAGACAATGTCGTACATGTTTGCTGGCCGCTTGCTTCCCCAGTTGTTTTTTGGTCCCAACGCGTCTTTAGTTTTTCTTATTTTTTTTTCTTATACTTCTTTCTTGCTGCAACCTTGAAAGGATTTCTATGCATACCCCAGATCCTTCTAAAACTTTTTCATTACTGTTTGCGCCTTCTCTTTTTCGTCGATTAATTCTTTCGTTCCATGTGATCGTCCTGATTTAATCTATTGATGTACCTTTGTAGATTTCTCATGACCTGCGTTGTAATTATTGTCATAAATTGTTTTTAATAGCTAAAGAAACGCTTTCATCTTCATCTTTGTGATTCCCTAAGCTTCAGAGAAATGTAAGTCTTGTCAGTTGCCCCGAAGATTTTCTCTTGGTATACAAGGTAATTTCAACAGGCATTCATTTTAAACCCTTCTTCGATTGCTTCGTACCATGGCTGGGTTCAAAGTCAGCTTGCGTGCAATCTGTTCAGTTTTGGAATGGCTTCATACTGATGAACTTCATTTTGCATGCTAAACTTTTGAACTAATTTTAATTTAATTTAATTTCTCACGTTTGTGCACCAATAACTATTATATACTCGAAAAACAATAAGGAAACACTAAGAACTAGTCAGACAAATCGAAATCTAAGGTGAACGGTTTTATTTTCTGGCCTCCTACAAATCATAGGCAGCATCGAAAAGAAAGCGAATTTGAGCTCCCTTACGAGTCAAATTATTGCTTTATCTTAGATTCATTTCATGAAGATCTGGTATTGACAGGCCTTATTTATCACCAATAAACCGGAAGATTCCAATATTGATTCGGACGTATCCTGCTTGAGTTAGGTCATTTACATGACGCTTCATGAGATCCTTCCAGTTACGTTTGTTGCACTTCCTGCCTAGCTCGACTCGAAGCTGATTGCCAAACTGAAGCGGGATCAGAGAAAGAGAGATGATGAGGTGATAGATAACATCATTCGAGAGATATTTGGGCCCGATGTCAACTTGGAGTATATCGACAAAGATGCAGTAAGTGTCCCCTGTAGAGCATTCTCAGAAATTTAGGTTCTCACTTTCCGCTATATTTCTTTCACTTCAACGCACTGTCCAAAAATTGAGCATTAAAACGCGTTATTATACCGAGGCTTTCCTTTGGGCAAAGCTGTGGTTCCTAGCTGGAGATTCTCGATTCTCTTGGATTGATGAAAGGGCGTGTAATTGCCACTGTTCTTTGAGTTGCAAATCTCTTCAGCCTTAGCAATAGACTCCTATATGAACGAAAGATAGTAAAACGGGGAAAAAATAAATAAGCTACATTGAAAAAGTTTTGAAACTCCATAGTATGACGCAAAATTTACCACATTCCTGTGTAAGGATATTAGTAAATGGGATTTAGCATTTAATTGATTAATTTAAGACGGAAATTCATTGAGGCTTAAGTTTCATTCAGAGTTCTTAGATATTTCGATTTTAAGAATGTGGTTCACAAATTTCTCGTCCAATCAAGTTCTGTTAATTATACTTCAATTGGATGATTGTCCTCAATTCTCGTGATGTCACTCCGTATTTTCATACCTGTTACGAACAATGACAGCTAATAAATATTCGGGTAATTTACCTCAATTCTGAAATTATTCTCGATTCTGAAAGATGTTCCCCATTCTGAAAGACATTCCAGATTCTGAAAGATATTCCCTATTCTGAAAGATAATCCCTATTCTGAAAGACATTCCAGATTCTGAAAGATAATCCCTATTCTGATATATTTGTGTGATTAAACGCTCCCCGTAGTCGACGGGAGGCACCCCGAGCCTGCGAGTCTCGCGTGATCTGGAGTCGCTAGGCTTCGTAAGTTATTTCTATTCTTCATAGAAAACGTCAACTTGGGGCCCATCTAAACTCAAGTGCATGTTCGGCTCATCATAATTCTTCTTTACAACCAACGCAATACTGTGCAATATTCACACACCGCTCTTATTAGTTATTTAATACATATTTGTGGCTTTGTACGTACCAAGTAATACGTTGAGTCCTACCCTTGATCGTTAACTTGCTTTCGAGGTGTACAACATTTATCAATTACTTTCTCTTCTCTGGGGTTTCTCAACGTTAATTATGCTGTTGTTTAATCTTTTATACGCAATACGCTTGATCAGAAATGTGTGTATGTTGCCTCGCTTCCTGCGTACCTGATTATGTTTAAGCTTCGTGTGTTTTATTTTGCCGAGTATTCTTGTGGATATCAAAGCATTTTTAGTCTCCAAACGATAAATATAACCAGACTAAATCCACAGCGATCACAGTATAAAATTGAACGATACGAAAAATCGTAACGTGCGAGATGCCCATTAATTAACAACAAACGTTGTGAAACAATTTTCAGGACTTGACTCGCCAGTGCTTGAATAAATACCATGATTCATATTTTTCAAATAATATATGTTTATCGTTAAGCAAGTTTTGCATACAGTTCCTGATTATCATCTAATACCACCGAACAAAAATCAGCGGTGTAAATATAGCCGTTGATTCTCGTAGCGTAAACTACTCACAAGTAACTGACGCACCTAGGTTTTTCCTTATTATTTCGCAAGCGTAGTGAGCTTAGAAAGTAATATATTTTCAAACACTCATTAATTTACGTTTCTTATAATTTGTCTGAATGCTAGCAAATTATCTTCTACACTCATTCTGTAATTCTTTTTAGTTTTGAATTGCAATGCATCTGAACCCAACCGTGCCAACACTTGTTGCTGCGCCCGCGGTGTGAGAGCCACACAGTCTCGCTTTAGAGCACAGCCTAAATAACTTCAAAATTTTTTACGTTGCTGCAACGATCTTTCTTTTACAGCTTGGGTCTTTAGGTCACCGCAATAATCTTTCTTTTACAGCTTAGATGTGATTTTTTCCTTGAGTTTGCTGCCTTGCGAGCTGACACGTAGTGGTCACATCTCTTGAGGTTCGCTGGCCTCTGACAAAATGGACTCTCTCACGCTTAGACTTGTTCTGTTAGAGTAAAACTGATCCCTCTTTTATTCGATGACAACATAGGCTATCCTGTTCATTGATCAGAGTCTCATTAATATTCTCAGAAGATCTCACTCATTGCAATCTTGTTCATTTTAATTTCGCAATTGTGTTCTCATTAATAAACGTGCGTATGTTTGGCTTTCGGTCTCCAAAACATGCCACTTGGTTTTCTGATTTGTTGGGACTAGAATTATTCTAAATTTATTATTTGTTTCCAAAATGTAATGACAAATTATTGAGCATTAAATGACTCATGATCAGCGACGATCAAAGAAGCGCTAAAAATTCAGCTTTTTCATTTATTGTTCTCACTTCACTTCCTTCTCTTGATCTGATTCTCGACACATATTTGATCAGATCTTTTAGACTTTATTGGTCTTTGGCTTCTATTGCTGTTATTAAATAAAAGTCAAGCAAGCCAGGCAAATATTTGTGCTTGAGTAGATTTTTTGCTTGATTCGTTTGAAGTCGCTCAGGGCGCGAGTTTATTGCTCAATTATTCCCAGCATGGAAATGAGGTAAGTTTAGTTGTCGTTAAAATATTTTGAATAAAATATTTAGTGTTTGCCTAATAAGGTACCAAATATTAGTGCAGCTATTATTATAATATAAAAGAAAAGTTATTCATTTTGGGCGTTAGTAAATTTTCCATTCGCCTGTAAAGTTACCAGACATTTAGGCTTAGCTCAAAATTTTTCAAATGGACATTTAATATACGTTAATATTTGGTTCAAGTTAGATTTGTGTTATTCGGATTCGTTGTTTGCAAACTATTGAATGATGGCATTTATTTGCCACATGACACTAGAACTGCTGGAGGCCATTTCTTGTGAGTGTGCGATTCTTCTCATTGGTCACTTGCCACCATTGTTTGAGTCTCCCTTTCGTGTCCTTTTTTCTCTGTCTTAGTTTTGATATCATTCAGTAAGTTTCCTGATTAGTGAAGCATGTAATGAGATTGTTTATCGTGTCAGTTGCCACTCTGCAATGTCTTAATTGCGATCATTTCTTTACTCTTAAAATTTAAAGAAAATTCCGTCTATGCAAAAGTATAATTAATTTGACATGAGAAAAGTACTCACTAATCGGGAGTTACTTGACTGTCCTTGCTATGTCTCCATGTTTGTATAAATTCTTCTGTCCCTTTTTTCTCCCTCTACACGTTTTTTTAAAAAGTCTCCAAGTGAAATTCAGATAATCGATAAAATTTTCCATGATGTAGGATTTTTTTGCTGGCTTCCGAATGTTTTCCGAGGCATTTTTGCCTGGCCGATTAGATAAATTAGGTTTAAAAAGTAGGGTAATTCGTCGTTTATGGCAGAAAAACTTAAATCCATGTAAAAGCTTCCCTTTTAGAAATTGTCGTTTAAAGATGACTTCGAATGGGAATTATCAATAATTAGGGAAGCGCCGCTCGCGCTAACTTGCATGTTCAACGGCCCATGGCTCTGATTTTCTAACTTCGGCTCTTTCAACGGTCCCAATATCTTCCTCTTTCTTCCAATGTTTCTTTTATTTGCATGCATTTGTCTCTTTTGTTTATTCTGCTTTCCTGGTGATTCTGTCCTCCAATCCCGTAAATTATATTATTAGATTATTTGTAAAATGTGTCGTTGACACGATGTGATTTCTGATATGATTTGATATGATACATATAATCTGATTTTTATCATGTTTCGATAATATTCCTGCATTGCAATATATGTTGTCTAGTGAGCTAGTGAAATGTTATTCATTTTAATTCAAATTCTTGGTATCATTTAATCTATTCAAATGTGAGATTTTGTTAATTATTTAATAGCGATTTAAAGTTTTACTGTCAGCGATTACTCACTCGTTTAAAATTAAATATATTCAATAAAATTTCAACGTACATGTAATTTGGCGGAAAATTGCTAGATGGTTGTGTATTTTTATAGTCATCTGTTGTCAGGAATTATGAAGGACATAACGTTTCCAAAATTACGAGCTGTTAGGCGCAAATTTGTAGACCAAACAAAGCGATTAAGGTTTACCTATGTCCCAGCCATTATTTGCCTTACGCTAAACGTGATTGATTGGCAGGAACTTATAATTCACTCTACATCATTTAGTTTCACTTACGTGTCAAGTGTATTTTTCATTTCCAATTACTCCTATTTATTTCCAATTGTTGGCTGGTTCGTAGTAACTGTTGATGATCGTGTCATGGAGTATCAGACTTCTAGAAAATGAAAGTAAAGCCAATTTTTTCCCATGCCAACCTGGCAGAAAAGCAGTCGGATCATAAGTGATATCACACGTTGTTTTGTGGAGCATTCTAGTATATGTGATGGTTTATACATTTTTGGCTGCCCAGGATGGATCCATGGAGCCTGAAGAAGCTCTCGCTCTCAAATTGAAGAACCCGGAGACGAACCCTTTCATCGACCCCATCCAGAAGCAGACGGTCGTCGACATGAGAGGTGAGTACAGCCGTGCCATCTCCCAACCAGCGCACATGCTGCTTCTGATTACAAACTATTATGCTCGACAGTAAATTTCACGGAATCAAAAAAGAAATTAAAAATATAAATTGTGTTCATTTATCATCAACATAATTATGCTTACAATAAATAATCAATTAAATCGAGGACAATATTGCCAGTAGTCAGAACATGGCGTTGTAACGTAGAATATAAGCACGAAAATGCAAGCTTACACGAGAAGACGTCAATTTCACGACGTCGGGGCATTTGCAGAGCATAGGGAGCAGTCTGAGGAGACCCAACATTGAACACGGCAAGAGTTGCATTTTGAGAGACGTAGGAAAATCCCGAATGTAATGCGGAAAGTACATAAAGCTAAGCTCTGTTGTATTCTGAATTGGTTTGGAGCAGCCTTGTTGTGTAAAGGATGAATATGCATGTTGTCCACAGACGTAATGGTGCTCAACGACATCATCGAGCAGGCAGCACAGCAACATGGCCGCCTAAGCCGCGCCAGCGACCACGGAGGTGAGATATCAACTCTTATTCTTGTCTCAATTGTAGACATTTATCGAAAAATATTATTGTTGATCTGTCCTATCATAGATGGTCTTGTTATTCTGTCGGGAGCTCCAAAATACTTTACTCGGGTTTATTATATTACTCTAACGTTTAAAATGCTTTCATTTAAAGGGAATATTCCCGTCTGTGAATCTCAAGATTTGAACCTTTATATTTTGCTCTTTATAAATGGTTGTAAGCAGTCGTGTGTGCTAGAAATATATTACGTGACTTTAATAAGTAATAATTCCTTAACTGCAAATGGCGCGGTTCAACCAAAAACCGGTAGTAAAAATCTGGATCTGCAGAAGAGCACGTCTTTACAGCGAAGCTTAAAGACTAGGTTTATATTAGTTAGATGTTATAGCTATAGCGGAACGGTTGGTTCAATACTGCTGCAATTTAAGAACGCAGAACGGGGATTGTAACACAAATTTGCGAGGATAATATTAGTTCGAGGTGTATTTTGTAGAGTATGAAGGTTGCACCTCAAACACTGCCGAGCCAGGCTGTTGTAATACTACGGATAACTGGATGGACGAAGAAAGAAAATGTCAATCTATAAGTTGCTCGGATGGTTTGCAAAGAAGCTAGATATTCTAGAAAAAGAATGGAACTGGGAACAAAGATAAATAGTGTCCCTACAAGGTCATATCTTAAGTCAAACTAGGTTTTGTTTCCTAAGCAATAGAACTTGGAAAGATGCATAAATGCCAATTGCTAGTTCATTATGAATCGGTTGCATCCTCCGTTTTAATGAAAATTTTCTTCATATTGCAGATTTGACAGAGGGTGCGTATTTCAATGTTTCTAATATCATTTTAGCTTAGTTTTGCTGATCGCTTTTTTGTGGCCGAAATGCCCGACATTTTCATAGCTCATCATCAATACACTTGAATCATGACACAAGTGCATTATAATTAACTCTAAAGTTTTATAGCCTTGACCTCATCTCGTTTGCATGAGCCTATAGTTGTACGCGCCGTGTCACGTGAATGCTGCAGATTTCAATGTAGTGCATATAATGTCGCCAGACAAATGTATTCAGCGATACAGACGTTCATATCTTGACTTAAATGAGAGATATTACATATACGGTATATTTCTACAATATACAACATATTTCAATATACTCACTGTCACAATTCAGCATACCGCATGAGGGAATGTTAATGTATTACATATTTAAATGAGAGTTACTTTCGTTCTTGGTATGTTTAATATCATCCAATGCCCGACATTCTGGAGTTTATTTAAAACTATGTTTTTACTGATATCTCGTACTGGAGTTATTAGGACTATTACAAGAAAGTGGTGTCAATATTCACGAGGGACCAACTGTTCATACAATTTCGATCTACGATTGCAAAATATTTACCCTGTTACTAATTTAAATGACGAGTATTTTAAAAAGGCAAGTTCATAACAGTTTAGAATTGGTAGAACGCACGCATCTATTCCTACTTTTGAGTCTGATACAATGTATTTTTTTCAAATTACTAAAATATTTTTTCATTCACCCTTAAACATTTTAGATCTGATTAAGTAAATAATTCAATGTACAGCTCAGCATGTTGTCAACTTGGCTGGTTCAATTGATGCTTGAACCAGATTACTGCATGTTCATTCTCAGAGGTGTATATGGGTCTTGAAGTTTTTAAGTATATAAAAGTCTTAAAATATCAAGTTCTACAGTTATGCTTTATGGCTTGTTATGTTGATTGTTTGCTTGTGTGTGCGAGTTCACTATTCAAATTATCTGTTAAGAACCTCACCTTGACTTAACACTTTAACCACTTTCGCTATTTTGTCTGCGCTCAAACCTTCAAATTCTGGAGAACTGAATTGGAAAAATGGTACCATATCAAGTCAGGAAAGTTTTACTTCCGTTACACGATCTTCTTTTTATAATCGATTTTTGCTTAGTCACATGTGATTAGCAAACTGAAAAAAATATATTGAATCTGTAAGTTTATGTTAAAGTCTGGCTCTTAATTCTTCCATTCGGTCAGTGATTTAGTAATTATATATCACATTCAGTTCCATTATTTGAAGGTGTTGTTGCTCAACACAACTTTCTTGGGCAACTCTACCATCACAAACGTTTTCATTTAGTGAAGTACGTCGCAGCGTCATCAGGTCAAGTTTGTTGCCCTCGATGAATTTTTTAGCGATCTTCTTCAAATAGAATCACCCTTCATGGTGCTAAACTTAGATTTATAAGTAAACTTTCAAAAGCTTTTCAGCCAACTCTAAAACTATTATGAGCTAATTATTTTATTTAATTACGAATTACTTATATATTGTAATGATTTTCGTCTAGCTTTCCAGAATGTGATAAATTATTTAGATAGGCTGACAAAATCTCGCGCCGCGTATCTATGAATTTTATTTTTCATTCTTCATCAACTATTCATACTCTGATTCTGTAGACGAAAAGTTCCGGAAATCTCTTGGCACTTGGTGCCATCACTTCAATCATGGCACTTGGATGATACCAAGTGCCTAAGTCTCGATGATAAATGTGATGGTTGAGTTACCCAGACAAGAGTTTTTCTGATTTGTATGAGAGGGGGACCTTACAAACAGGCACAGCTGGCGTGGCTCAACTGGAGCGCGAGCCTCACCACCGCTTCTATCACTTCATCATCATTCTCATTTATGTGAAGAATATTTTATAGTACAAAAATATTTGTGCATTGATTTCATATATCATTATTCCCTATGTTGTTTTCATTGTTTATCTCTAAAGGTTGTTTCATCGAATTAATTACTACTGGGGTGATCCCTCGAGTTTCTCGTAACCGCTGCAAAAATAAATTGTTCAGTGCAGACTAAGCCATGTTGCGATCGCCGTCACAAAATTCGATCAGCGTTATCACTGTAGAATTAACCTATGAGTTATTGGGCTCATTATTTCATTGGTCTTCATTTTTTTCTGAGATATAATTACTCGACTCTCAAGTTAAATTAGTAACTTCAATTCAGCAACGGTCAAAAAGGAATGTTTTTTTTAACTAAACTAAAAAACGAAGAATTGTGATTTCTCCCATATTGTTGATAGATTTATTCTGGGAATTGAACGAAATTCGGTTCTTTGGAAGAATATAAATGCTTTTATTGATTGTCATTAATAAGACACTTGAATTTCATGTAATGATTTCCTCATTTCACTGTGCCCAGTTTGTTGCATGTTGGGGCTTACAATGCGCTTTGAAAAAACTCATTATAATTTGTTTAATTGAGTTACCTAAATCCGATTTTCAGGAGCAAGAGAATAATTTCATGTTTCATCCATCAATTACATTTCATTGCAATATTATTATCCTCACCAAAAAATGAATGTGAATTTTTCGAATATATTCATAAAATTGCACCAACACAACCCTGGCTTTCATAAATTTTCGCAACTATAGATAGCTGATTTTTATTAATCGTGTGTTACTGAAGCACGCAAAGCCTTGTATTGAGAATTTAGAAGCCGTAATAATGACTTGGGCCCTTAAAAAGCGCTGCCGCGGCTGAGATTCCAGAGATTGAACTTTCTTTTTCGAAATTATATAAGGTCGTACATTGCTGCTTCTTCCTTTTGCCACATGCTGCAAAAATAACCTTTTCGCTACTTCTTTGGTACCAGATACATTTTATCCCAAGCTTTGTGGGTCTTCTGCGACAGTTAGTCGAACGTGATCCGTTTTAAGAAATAAATCGAGAAGAAAGAAATGAATCTGTATGCCTCGCGTACCAACAACTTGTCTGCATGCATTCGACCTCCTCGCTGGATATGCTTCCTTCACTCGGTGTGTGAGGTCAATTAATTAGCATCACGTGTCATTAACAAATACGAGTTGTATGATTCGTCATTAAAACAAATTTGCGCTTTAATTCAATTAATTCTTGAGTAAAATGCCTCTTGGCTACCAGTGGTCTGGAACAAATAAGAGCACGTCCAAGAACTTCATGGAAATGACGTATGCTATCAACGTAACAGTTCTTCGATATATGAACCATCAATAACTAACGCGTAAATCGTAGGCTGTTCTCCAAAGTTTTACTGAAACGTTCGTGTGTGATTGAACATCTGATGCACGGCTTGCTGCACCCCACGAGCCTCGACCATCTATCTCATGCCATCAGCCTGCCCATCCTCAGCTCAATTATTCATTTCTCCCTATAAGCTCTCACAAGAATGGACTAAATGAGTGAATATCTAATGAAACCTTGATTTCGTCCTGTCTCCATGAGAGACAGTCGACCATTTTACTTAATACTCGGCACAGATTGAATATTTCAGTCACAGTTATTTTAATTTATCACTGAACTTAACGATTCAAAAGGTTTCTCTGATTATAATCATTTGGCCCATATATTAGTGAATGCCCCCGCAAGCTTCCAGTTTTTAAATGAAAATATTTTTACTTCGATAAATAGCGCAGTAGCGAGCTGCATTCGCTCTCATTTTCATTCAATTAATGGACTCTAATTTCGATATTTTAACCGTTGCGTTTGAGAAAAGAGTTATAATTAAGTAATACCTACCAAATACTTTGTTAATACCTCCTCCCCAATGAGAGATCTCGATCACTGATGGATGGTTAACATTTCATCCAATATTGTGGAGTTCGATTAAGTCGTTAGAGTTTGCATAACAACATTTGAACATGATTTCCATGATTACCAATTAGCATTTTCATTAATCGTTTCACTTTTGTCCTGGCAGATTTGATCCAGTCTCATGCAGTGAACGGCTGTCTTTTGGCCGAGACACCTTTGGTACTTGGCATTTACTTGTGACATAATACTTTTGTGTACAAGGTTCCCCTCTTAAATTGAAATACTCGTTTCCCTTCGGTCGTCAGGTCTTCAGATTCACAATCACAATTAGTTTTTGTCCATATGATATGAAGAAACTTTACATATCCGTTAAATGGCAAATTAATCCTAATATGTATTATCAAAGTAAAAAACTATAAACAACGATGAAGACCTGATAGACCTTGTCTGACCTACACGTTGTTGTCTTTCTCGATAGCTTTTAAAAATAGTTGCTGTGCTGCCGATTCCAAAGGTCATTTCGAGCATACTAACACTTTTTTCTACAGTTTCCATTTATTATTTTTCACCAGAAGACGAAGAAGAGCCTTTAGCTGCCAAGATCAAGAAAAAAGTTATTGAGTATGGGAAGAGACTTATTGAAATATTATGCGTATGGGACTGTTGCTGGCTGTGGCTTAAGATTCAGCACATTCTCGGTCTGATCGTGTTCGATCCGTTCGTTGAGCTCTTCATCACGCTGTGCATCGTCGTGAACACTCTCTTCATGGCCATGGACCATCACGGCATGAGACAATCTTTTTCTGATTTCCTTAAAATGGGCAACTACGTGAGTATAGCTTGTATTTCTCCCTGTGTGAGTACAGCTTGTATTTCTCCCTGTGTGAGTACAGCTTGTATTTCTCCCTGTGTGAGTCCAGTGGGCATTTCTCCTTGTATGAGTACAGCTTGTATTTCTCCCTGTGTGAGTCCAGTGGGCATTTCTCCCTGTGTGAATACAACTTGTATTTCTTCCCTGTCGGATGTACAGTATGCTTGTCGAGTGTCGGGTATACGTAGCGTGCCTGGATATTGAAGCTGATGAATGATTCCCGGGGGAAGCTATAGAAGGCATATCAACCATTTGTAGATTTTATAGAATGAAGTAGAATCGAATAGAATAGAAATTTTTTTGCTTATCTTAATTTCATGGAATAACATTACGGCCATGAATTTTATCAGTCAATACTCTATTTTAGCTGCCTCGTTGAGAACACTCTGTTTACCTACTGTTTCAATGCATCATAAAGGTTGAATCTTGTTTTCAGAATACTTTTCACATGCAGCCCTTAAACTCATACTTGAATCCTTTAGACAAATTGTGGTATTTGATGGATTTAAATCACGTAGTACTCCATGTGTCCAACAACTTATTTTTTAGATTAATACTCACAAAAAAATCTTTCAAATAAATTCAAATGTCTATGCACTGAATATAACCTGTATACTGTATGTGCAAGTGTAAAACGATAGTTAGATATATTTTTCGTAATTTATGATAAGAAGTGGGCGCGATGATGGAATAGCCTGCTAAGCTAGCAATGGAAAGTAGAAAGAAAGCTTTATAGTGTTTTCATTTTTCAGCAGTTTATGATTTACATAATTTACCAAGGTTAATGTATGTTACCTATGTTATATTCGCCGTAAATATTTTATTATTAATCTTTGTGCTGCATTTCGTATTCTAGCCTTCGTCTTGTGTTGTGTTCTGTTTTGTGTACTGTTGTTCTGCTGTATGTTTTCTCATTAATTTTGATTGAAGTCGAAGTCAATGAATGGTTTTGCTTGGTTTCATACGTAATTTGTTGACTTCTTCTTGACTGAAAGAAGCCCTCAGTCATGTTCTGTTCATTTTTTATTCATATTAGTTTGTATTGATTCATCATAGTAAATCTAATGTAAAGTTGTGTAAAGCTTTTAAGTTTGTACAACCACTATTTAGTTACGTTACTGTCTTAACTAGAAATCTCAGCTCAGTCCCGTCAGAGAAAACACGAAAAATGTACGAATTGTAATCGATCTTTCTCTTTCGTGCTTTGCTGTGGATCGTCTTTCTCTAAACTGAAAAATCTTCAACATCATCACGCCTTTTTTGTACTTGCACCAATCTTCATGACATCAATGATACTATCCACATCTGTCTAATTGATTTTTCGCATTCTTCAACGTTACTTGATTCCGGAAAATTTCTTCCTGCCTATTTTTAATCTGCTGGTGATAATTATTCTCGTTTTAATACGGATATTTTTTTATTATCCGAGCAATACCAACTGAATTTCCTGCCTGAAATTAATCTTCGACCGCATCCAAATTGATTAAGATTTGTATAATTTTTTAATATTTTCAACCTATGTTTTACTCGAGAACACGATCAACTATCACGGCCGTTCCTACATTCCATGGCTACGTCATCTCCCGGACGAATGTTGCGATTCAATTAATGAATTGTTTTTTCTATTCCTTTTTGCCGAACTACCATCCCTTACCTTCCCTCACCGAACCTTTCCTCTCTCACGCGGACTCTCTGGGCACTGTTCCCTATCCTATTCTCCTTCACCTCCTTCCTTACAACGTCGGCATACCCTTCTCATGCCACTACCGGCGCATACAACAGTTCTTCACAGCAACGTTCACAATCGAAGCCTTTACCAAGCTCATGGCCATGAGCCCCAAGTTCTACTTCCAAGAAGGCTGGAACATCTTCGACTTCTTCATCGTGGCTCTCTCTCTAATTGAACTCGGTCTGGAGGGCGTCCAGGGCCTCTCTGTCTTGCGCTCCTTCAGATTGGTGAGTCGTTGATATTATTTATTATTACTCATCATCACTGATGATTCCGTCCACCGATCGGTAGTTATTGCTTCACTGATATTCAGTCTCATTGATATGTTGCGCTCATCATCGGTACTTACTTCGTCGCTGTTGTAAGATATCCGTCTTAGATGCATGATATCCTCTTTAGAACGATATTCATCTTAGTTGTGACAAATGAATAAATAACTTCATTCTAATTCACTAATTTCAATCATGAATGCTGATTGTTAATCTCGCCGCTACATCAAACCGTTTCCTGTTCAAATCTATATTTTTAACATATTTTTCTAGCGCCTAAGCTCGGTATTCAACGAACAATCCGTGTTGATGTGCAGCTCAGGGTGTTCAAGCTCGCTAAGTCCTGGCCCACGCTCAACTTGCTCATCTCCATCATGGGCAAGACGGTGGGTGCCCTCGGCAACTTGACCTTCGTACTCTGCATTATCATCTTCATCTTCGCCGTGATGGGCATGCAACTCTTCGGCAAGAATTATACTGGTGAGAAGAAATCGTCTGGGTGCAAGAATGCGTTCTCAACATTACTTTTAATGAAAATTTATCAAATTGTTTCATTTTATCGTCTGTTTGATGCCTAAAATTAATGACTATATTTATCAGCTTCCGATATGATATCCCTGTAAAATGTGTGAAAAGTTTATGCTGAGATAATTCCATGTTTTCTTGAGCATCTTCCACTCTATGTCAGGGCTGAAATTGTGATTGCTCTCATGAGATGGCTCTCTCACAGATAAGAGATTGCTCTCTTATCTAAAATTTTCTCTGACCAACAGAAAAGGTCACAAAGTTCAAATGGTCTCAAGACGGCCAGATGCCGAGGTGGAATTTCGTGGACTTCTTCCACTCGTTCATGATCGTGTTCCGCGTGCTGTGCGGGGAGTGGATCGAGAGCATGTGGGACTGTATGTACGTGGGAGACTTCTCGTGCGTGCCTTTCTTCCTGGCCACGGTCGTCATCGGCAACTTGGTCGTGAGTTTCATGCACCGACAACTACTAAATATTCCATTTGTGTCAGATTTGAGGATTAGAACATACGACATTAGATCGTTTCGAGATTATTTGCCATCACAAATTATTATAGATTTACAAATAAAGTCATTTTTCGTTGAGTAAATACTATTATCGGGGTATCAATGTATAAAATGATGGTAATTTTTTAGGTTGACTACAATTTCCTCAAATTAATTGCATTTGTCCTTTTTAGATTATTAAAGATTAGAATTAAAAAATATCACTATGACATAGCAAGCTTTTACAAGTCATAAGGTTTAATAACTTACTCTCTTTAATAACTTACTTTTGATCACAAATAAATATGAAATTGAAATTACCTAGTACGTCTCGTAAACGCCGACGAACTTTGAACAGTATTGACAGTAACAATTAAGCAGTTGTTAACAGTAGTAACTATGAGATGTTTGTTAACGAGCAGTTGTTAACAGTAGTAACTATGAGATGTTTGTTAACAAGCAGTTGTTAACAGTAGTAACTAAGAGCTATTTCTTAACAAGTAGTTGTTAACAGTAGTAAATATGAGATGTTTGTTAACAAGTAGTTGTTAACAGTAGTAACTATGAGATGTTTGTTAGCAAGTAGTTGTTGACAGTATTAACTATGAGATATTTGTGCGTTGACTCGTGCCGCCTGTGTGCCAGGTTCTGAACCTCTTCTTAGCCCTGCTGCTGAGCAGCTTCGGAGCCTCGAACCTCTCCGCTCCCACTGGTGACGGCGAACCTAATAAAATTGCTGAAGCTTTCGACAGAATCGCCAGGTTCAAAGCCTGGGTCAAGCGATCCATCATGAACTTCCTCAAAGGCATAAGAGCGAAAATTACCAATCAAATCAGAGATCACACTCCAGGTACGAACTTACGAGTGATTATTTTTTGGTCCATCGGTTGGGACAAGTTTTTTCAAGTTTCGCTTCTGCAGTTCAAGCAATCACTTACCAAGACAATAACAAGCTATCTATGGTGTCATAAGATTTTGAGGAAGCAGATTAATTAAATTAAATCCTCACTGAGTGAGGCTCACTCAATATTATACTATGGTCGTATGAATGTTTCATGAATTTAAATAAAATACTCTATACTATACTAATACTATAAACAATTTTGCAGACGCATGTTTAGCTGGGAATTTCCGAATGCCATTAGCTCGTTATATGTTTTCGTGCTTAGTCCTAAAAAGAGAACTTGGGTTGTACCAATTTACTGTTTTACATAGAGAGAAATTTATTGTTTGATCGAATGGCGTTTTGTGTTACAACATGAGACTTCACAACCCATAACAATTGACACCATGGAGATATTGTTGCTTCGTGACGGCTTATATTTCCGTAAAATATATTATATGGGAATTTTTGAAACTGATCAATGCGACTCACCGTGCAGACGAGTCAGTTGGTGATGACGCGAGAGGCCTGACGCGAGACGCTGCCAACGTCGTGTCCAGCGCCGCTGCCATGAACAACAGAAAGATACCCAACATGGCCGACGTCACCACCGTCGACATACCCATGGATGGACTCGATCTTGCGGGTAAGACGCGTTATTTCACCAGTCAAGTATTTTTGCGTTGTTTTTGTTTAATCGCGATCCAGTTAGCGTGTAAGAAATCTTGCGTCATGGAACGAAAAATAACAAATGGCATCATACCTAATAATACCTAATTTACCCAGTTCTAAAAGTTACCAAATCAATCTTGACTCGTTTAGTAATAATATTTTTACTTACTCATCTGTACGCAGACGGAAAGCTGAAGCAGACGCTGGCGACGATCAACAACCGCTGCGGCCACATCGGCAACTCGATCAACAACCGCGACTTCCTCGAGAACGACTACACGAGCACGGCCAAGATCATGAGGCGGGATGACGACGACATGAGCGACGCTTCGCTCGGCTCGCACCGCAACAGAAAACTCATGAGCGACTCGTGCAGCCATAGAGGCTCCACCGAGTCCTTGGAGGACGAAGCCAAGAAAACCGCCAGCAAAGATGATCTAGATGATGGTTATTAACGTTTTCGACTATTGACCATGAGATTATGCGTTATAATGAGTCTAGAAACACTACTTCAGCGAATTTGTTGAATATTTCAATTCAATTTACTGTAAATAGATTTTTCCATTTGCGTTGCTGTACTCTTCACGACCTTTTTGGAATATTACGGTTGCAGCACTCGTTAGGCTCAGTTTCAAATTTCAAGTAATTCACATTACCTGCTTCTTGAAGCTTCCCCTGAAGCTTTATCCTTAAGAAGGTTATTTTTTTAACTATGATGGTTGTACGACTTGCTATTAGATACTTCTACGCGAGGTAATTGTTTTTGGATTTTGGATTTTTTGGATTGAATTTTTGTGGATTTGCTACAGATTTTGACGCGAGTGGAGAAGAAGAGGAAGAGGAATACGACGAGGAAGGCGAACCTCAAGAAGTACGGCCTGTCATGGACACCGGCAGCGAAGAGGTTATGGACTATCCCTCGGACTGCTTCAAAGAATCCTTCTACGTCAGATTCCCGATGTTTGCCGTGAGTCTTAAAGTCACATGTCACATAATGCGAGGCAGGCAGCACCTAAGGTTTATATGGCGTCAGTTTTTCTTAAAGTTGCTCCTATTACTTATGGGGAATCGATAACGACTTTGTGCTCCTCTGTGAAACCCCAATCAGTGGGATGGTTCTTTGACATAGTCCCGTTCTAAATAATCGTTTATGTTATTCGATGCGAGCCTCATTTATTGGCTATATGATGCTGTACAGGGCGACCCCGACTCGCCGTTCTGGCAAGGCTGGGCACACTTGCGCTACAAGACCTACCTGCTCATCGAGAACAAGTACTTCGAGACGGCCGTCATCACCATGATCCTGATGTCGTCCCTTGCCCTCGCTGTAGAAGACGTCAACCTCGCCCACAAACCTGCCCTCATCGACGTCCTCTATTACATGGACAGAATTTTCACCGTGATCTTCTTCATCGAGATGGCAATCAAATTCGTAGCGCTCGGATTTGCGAAATATTTCACCAATGCCTGGTGTTGGCTGGATTTCCTTATCGTCATGGTGAGTCGGCAAAATCTTTTGTAAATAGTTACCAAAGTATTTATACGCTATTCAATAATTATGTATAAGATGGAGCGAGAATTATTTATCGGTTGCTTCGAAGTTATTGGTCAATTGGAATTTCACAAACTGAGGCCAAGTACTACCAATCTGATATACAAAATTTCCATGACCAAAAGCTCGCCAGCATGTTCTTGTTACCCGATGCCCATTTTTGCTTGACTATGATTATGTCTAGAATATTTGGGATTGCAAATCATGTTCGCTGCAATGGCGTGATTAAATTAACCGTTATTCGGTCAATAGTTATAATATGCTTCTTGCGGTCTCGATGATAATTATTGTTTACACTAATCAATTGTCAAGCTACATCTGATTTGTAGCTTCAGGGCATTTTCCTGTGAATTCGAAAATTTTTATTTCAAATCCAATCGAATCTGAATTGTGTCTACCACATTGCCTGTATTTTGCTCAGGTGTCGCTCATCAACCTGATAGCAACGCTCGCCGGAGCCGGCAAGATCCAGGCCTTCAAGACGATGAGGACCTTGAGAGCCTTGCGCCCTCTGCGCGCCATGTCCAGGATGCAGGGCATGAGAGTGAGTGCAGGGCATGAGAGTGAGTGCAAGACATGAGAGTGAGTGCAAGACATGAGAGTGAGTGCAGGGCATGAGAGTGAACGCAGGGCATGAGAGTGAGTGCAGGGCATGAGAGTGAGTGCAAGACATGAGAGTGAGTGCAGGGCATGAGAGTGAGTGCAAGACATGAGAGTGAGTGCAAGACATGAGAGTGAGTGCAGGGCATGAGAGTGAACGCAGGGCATGAGAGTGAGTGCAGGGCATGAGAGTGAGTGCAAGACATGAGAGTGAGTGCAGGGCATGAGAGTGAGTGCAGGGCATGAGAGTGAGTGCAGGGCATGAGAGTGAGTGCAGGGCATGAGAGTGAGTGCAGGACCTCTACAAATATCACTTGCTCCTCTGACTCACGTGTTATCTACGCTTTTTGTGGATGTTTGTTCGTTCTATCAACGTGTGTTTGTTTTGGTGTTCAGGTTGTAGTAAACGCGCTCATCGGCGCCATCCCGTCGATCGTCAATGTGCTGCTTGTGTGCCTCATCTTCTGGCTCATCTTCGCCATCATGGGAGTGCAGTTGTTCAACGGAAAATACTTCAAGGTATTTGTCGTCTTACCGCTGCTCTTCATGACCCTAGTTAGCATATCATAGTGGTATCGGTGCTGAAGAGTAGGCCTGATGTGGCCTGTCGCCGATTTTTGTACTTTTCGTGTCTTGTCCGCAGTAGATCTGAACATAGATCATTTGACCGGGTTTTCGAAACTGATGATAGTTTGAAATAGCTACAAGACTTGCACCGAGTTCGATATAGTGCTTGGCATTTCAAGTGTGAACATATTCTGTCTGTTCTTGAACGCGTTCATACACGGAGCGTACGATGTAATCGGGGTGGCTATTATTACTTTATTCACTACTTTACTTTACTTTATTCATTATTCCTGTTGATGGTAATATTTTCTGAACTTGTTTGGATTTATACTCTACATTCGACACATCTTCCGACGGTCATTGACTAAAATGTATCTGTATTGACTTTTTTTGTAATGTTTAATTATTTTCAGTGCATGCATCCGGATGGGTATCGGTGGTCGCAAGAAGACATCCCCGACATGAAGTCATGCAAGGCGGGCAACTACTCCTGGGAGAACTCTGAGGTGCACTTCGACCACGTGCCCATGGCCTACCTCGCACTCTTCCAGGTCGCCACATGGAAGGGATGGATCCCCATCATGAACGACGCCATCGACACCAACGGGGTGAGTGGCCACGTCATAGTTGGCTGAGTAGTCGATGTTTTATTCTGCCAAGGATGTGTTTAGAAGCTTGTTGAGTATCATTGAAAAATAGGTAGTTGATTTGAATGGAATGTGGGAAAACCCTTTCGTCATATGTGGAAATGCTTGACTTCAAAGTAGTAAAAAAAATTCAAAATTTTTGTAGTCAATAAGCTTAAATTTAAATAATAGATAAAGTGCAGTGGAATATTGCCCTATTACTCTCTATTACTGATAAGTTTTGTTTGCACTTTTCAAGCGTATTCCACGCAGCTGGCCTAATTTTTTAACATAAATGCTTCTAGCACGGAATGAAAAACCGAACGAATTACTAATCTTGATAAACAACTTCGAAAATGTTCCGCGTTGCATGAAGCAAAATTTCAACTTTACATTGTGAATAGACTACCAATAAAATATTTTTGCTTTCAGGGTAGTAAGTAAAACGATACACGTAATAAATAATTATTTTTTTTTATCATTGCAGCTGAACAACCAGCCGATCAGAGAAGTTAACCTGTACATGTACTTCTACTTCGTCTTCTTCATCATCTTCGGCTCATTCTTCACACTGAATCTCTTCATCGGCGTCATCATCGACAACTTCAACGAACAAAAGAAAAAGATGAGTATCGTTTCCTGAATTTTATTTGTCTATAGTATTGGCTTTCTCTGTGTACGAAAGTGATTTTGAGAACAGCTTTTTCATGCTGATGAATCCTGTATCACTGCTGAAATTAGACGTAATCCTTTTCATCACCAGGCGGGTAATTAATAAATGTTTTCTTCTAGCTTCCATTTTATAAACTGAATTTTTTTGAGCAAATAATTAGAATGTGTGACTGCGATTTTCACGCAGGAGGTTCTCTCGAAATGTTCATGACAGACGACCAGAAGAAATACTACAATGCCATGAAGAAAATGGGTGGCAAGAAGCCTCTCAAAGCCATACCCAGACCGCAAGTGAGTGTCTGCCTTAATCTCAACTATTCTATTTGGTTGATTATCCAATTATTCATACTTCAGATCCATGGTTTCATTCGCGTTCATTTTATTAAGCTTCATTCGCAGCCTCTGATCTGTTTGGTATAATCCTATCTATTATTGCAATTTCTATCACAATTGAAACTGTACATGCTCTATATGTTTCAAAAATTTACATTCTCCGTTTCTAATTTAAAATAATTAAATTTAAAGCTCGTTGTTTCCTGGAAAAAATGAGTGACAGATAACTGCACTTGATGAGCTCATCGTCGTGACTATCGTGGTATTAGGGCGGCAGTTGAAGGCCACGTCCTTTAAGTGTTGATTGAACGAAAGTGTTGTTGTAGGCGAGATTCACCGTAACTAAAATTAAGCGAACAATTTTAAAAATAATCTCCCTCAGCTATGATATCGCAAGCATGTTGATAAAAAATAAAGTTATATTTACAACGAATATGTGTAAACATTAACAAAGATCTTTATGAATTTATACGAATATTTTCTTGCGCAGTTCAAACCTCAAGCAGTGGTTTTTGAGATCGTCACGAGCAAAAAGTTCGACATGATCATCATGTTGTTCATCGGAGTGAACATGCTCACCATGACGCTAGATCACTACCAGATGAGCCCAACTTGGACCAGCATCTTGGACTCACTCAACTTGATCTTCATATGCATCTTCTCTTCTGAGTGTTTCTTGAAGGTTTTCGCTCTCCGGTGGCACTACTTCAAGGAGCCTTGGAACCTCTTCGACTTCGTTGTGGTCATAATGTCCATCTTAGGTGAGAGATCTTCGACTATGAGGTATATATGACTATTACTGTGCGCAGCAATTCCATTTTTATAGCTATTGAAAGTTTTATTTTTTGTATTCTTACCTGAGAGACAAATCTCTGTCTCTGAAGCGTCATTATGAGAACTGTCTTTCGAAGACGAATGTACTCTAGGATATTTCATTTTATTTAAAAATCCGCTTGACGTTTTAATGTTAGTTTAAATGATTCAAAATAAGCTCGACTTCTGAACAGATATAACAAAATTATCACGAGGTATTTATTTTCCATCCAGCCCCGCAACATCAAGTGTCGAACTGCTTTCGGTTGAAAATTTCTGGAGCCGATAGAATATATTTAGCATAGCTTAATGGAATGTGTCACCGCAGACAGCCTCTTGAGAAATACCCTTATCTAAGAATGAAGCTTATATTAACCATGATAAATTTTAGAGGATCTGGCGTGTAGACCTGAAGGATTTCAATCTAGAAAAGCGATCAATATCTTACAAATTAGATTTCTGTTTAAAGGCTGGCATACATAGCCTCATGTTCAGAGTTGTTATCGGTGATCTAAAAATATATATGCTGTAAAAACAATTATTCGATGGTTTAATTGTTTTTTCGGGAACATATTTTAAAATTACGCCACATTCCCTATAGGAAATCGAAATACATTCGGAAATTATACCATAACGATTATTTGCAGGCCTGGTGCTGAGCGACCTCATCGAGAAGTACTTCGTGTCGCCCACGTTACTCCGAGTGGTGCGTGTGGCCAAGGTTGGTCGAGTTCTTCGTCTGGTCAAAGGAGCCAAAGGTATTAGAACACTACTCTTCGCCTTAGCCATGTCCCTGCCCGCGCTATTTAATATTTGCCTCTTGCTCTTCCTTGTCATGTTCATCTTCGCGATTTTTGGAATGTCCTTCTTCATGAACGTCAAGCACACCGGGGCCTTGGATTCCGTCTACAGCTTCGAAACCTTCTTCCAGTCGTTCATCTTACTTTTCCAAATGATGACCTCTGCTGGCTGGGACGGTGTTTTATCCGGATTGATGAACGAAAAAGAATGTGATCCACCAGTTCCAGAATTGGGCCTATCCGGCAACTGTGGCAACCAGACTTTTGGGATTGCGTTTATTCTTTCATACTTGGTGATCAGCTTTCTAATTGTCATCAACATGTACATCGCTGTTATCCTCGAGAATTATTCCCAAGCCACAGAAGACGTGGAAGAAGGGCTCACCGGTGACGACTACGACATGTACTATGAAATTTGGCAACAATTCGATCCCAAAGGCACACAATTTGTTCAGTTTTCCCAATTAAGTGACTTCCTGGATGTTTTGGAGCCTCCGTTGCAAATTCATAAGCCCAACAAGTACAAAATTGTTTCCATGGACATTCCTATTTGTAAAGGTGACATGGTGTTCTGTGTTGATATACTTGATGCACTGACCAAAGACTTTTTTGCGAGAAAAGGTAGCCCCGTTGAAGAGAGTGTTGACATGGGCGAAGTTGCCCCTGCCGTTGACAGGCCAGGCTACGAGCCCGTATCTTCTACGTTGTGGCGGCAGCGCGAAGAGTATTGCGCTAGGCTAATCCAGCAAGCTTGGCGCAGGCATCGTCAAAATAAGGACCAATCCTCATTGTCTGGTGGGGGTTCTCACGAAGAACTCAAGCAAGCGGACACTGCAGTACTCGTTGAAAGTGACGGTCATGTTACAAAAAACGGCCATAAAGTTGTTATCCACTCGCGCTCACCGTCTCTAACATCCCGATCCACTGATGTGTGAGGAGAGAGTGAGTAACAAGAGTATTGAATCACCATGTTTTGTGGTCTGTCCTGCAATGAAGGGCAGTCAATTTTTTGGCTCAAATTGCACCCGTCGATTGAAATGGATTGTGCTCTTGGAGCGGAACACTTGATTTCCTGGCCGTTGCAGGCAAAGGCTCTCATTTTTGCACTTGGAGAGCCTAGCTCAGAGCTTTGCTCTAAGAGATCCTTTGAAATAAAGACCACCAGACCTGGTAACATAGTTTTCTTGTTGAGCGCATATCTTATAGAAACAATGCCACATCTGAAGTATTATGAAAACCAATTTCTAGTTACATAATATATTACATCCACAAAGAATGTGTGATACACCATTGCCTTCATTCCGAATGGAAAGCGTGCATAATGCCGTGGAGCGAAGTTGAGGAGTTACATGTAGAATGTTATGGTAGTGGTGACCACACAAAGTGTGTTGACTGCCTGTGTCTTGGTCGTTGTCCTCTAGTTATGTTGGTATCCCATTTTGTTTCGTAAAATTTGAGAGCATGTTGAGTTTTGTTGCTCGTGGTGTGCCCCGCTGGCTACTTTGTAGCTTATTTTTAGGATGTTAGTTAAACTTCATTTTATTTTTGTGCCGTTCGATTTTTTTTCTCATGTTCCAAAATACTATCTCTTTCACCAATTTCCTTTTTTTCAGTAATTTTTACAACCACGTTTGCTTTTTTGTTGGAATCTTTGTTTCGTCCAGGCCTCTCTTCCGTCCTATCTTCCTTCCGTCCTCATTTTAGTTTTTGCATCTTAAGTTGCTAGTTAGCTGAGCCTAGCGCTCGTCGACCTAATGAAGTGCTTGTTATGCTGCTGTCGGTGCTCGGGCGCCGCCTCCCTGCCTATAGTTGTTACATTTATTTAAAAACTGGCTTGCCTGGTTTTTGATGGCCTTAACTATCTAGAATAATTGACATGGATCATTTAAAGCACAATATTGTATGTCAACACGCTATTATTTATATGAGAATTATAATAACCGTTGAAAGTAAGTGATGAATCATTACCGTAAGGTTATGCTGTGCATAATTCTGTACCACTGAAAGATGTAACTCTTCATGGCTCTAAGAAAAAATTCTGAATAATAATACGCTTTTGCATGGAATCTAGCACAGGTTAAAATGTAGGTGAGTGCAGCCTGTATATGAGAGCTGAGGCTGAGCCTTGCATCGAAGGGAAGAGAGGCGCATGCCTCTTTAATCTTAAGGTTGTCTTCTTCCCAGTTAGCAACCTTAGCATTACTCGGCATGCTCCCAGGCTTCTCAATCCTCTTCCTCAAGTGATTGGGTTGTCTGAACTGACGTTTTCTTCCCTGAGTAATGTTACCCTTCCCTGAGATGCGACACTCCCCTCTCTCTATGCTCGTGGTTTTATTCTTCAATGTTGCCTCTTCTGCTACGCAACACCACTGCTGTGTCTTTCATTATCTTTTGGCTTCATTTACTCTAAACTGAACAAGGTTACTCTAAAACTTTAGCCAAATCGATTATCTGCGTGAGTCGAAAGGCAGATTTTCTTCTAGCCATAGAGTTTGCTGATATTTGCTTCTTAACATTCGACCACCTTTCACTATCAAATTTAATGAAATTGCCAGATCTTCGTATATTTCGGTAAAATGTAGCGGCATCAGACTTTTATGACGAACATCGAATGCTATAGTCAGACTGTTACCAGATTTATGAAGTGAGGGTATTTTTTCTCGGCTAATTTTGATCAGTCTAAAGATGCACTACCCACTTGTAAGCTTACTTTATGAAATCATCCATTCAAAGTCATGCCTCAAAATGTTTGGATCACAGAATCTTGTGCTAATCAGATTGATGTTTCAATAATGCAAAATCTACTGGCTTGAATTTCACAACTGTGACTGATGAACGAAATCTTATCATAGATATTAAGTGATCCTTTCCTTTGACATCCTTTACATCATGCATCAATTTGTGTCTTATCGGGCTGTCAGTCCCAAGAACTTGATCAAATATTTCATAATCTTATCTGAACCATTATCGTTTTGACATTTATAGTCAATAAACCCTTTCCCAGCGCCGCGGGCGGCTGGTAATTTGAGACTTTAAATGAAATCATTGGTATAACTGTTTGGCCAGTCGGGTTCCTCAATCATCTTTACGCCCTCCTACTACTTCTTTTCTTTCTCATTCTTTCCTCTTCTTGTACAAATTTTACAGGTGATTTAGGTCAAGTTTTTCCAAAATGTCACTGTTTGTTTTCTTATCTTCGTCCTCCCTTCAGACTCGTCTGGAGAAATATTCGTGTTATAAATTTCAGTGGTCAATGCAGACCCTCGCTGCATCAATCCATGCGAATTTCCTCATTGTAATCTCACTTCCAGACAGATTTCATCCGTTTACAAATGCCTTTCACGTAAGATTTTACTTCAATAGTCAAACTGGCATCGCTACATTCGTATCTTTCAATCGCATTGCTCGCACTTGGTTTAAATGTTTTGAATTTCTCAGTTTGTACTATAATATCTGTAAATATTGCGTCATCGAATAAATTTTTGATAATTTACCACGAACCAAACTAGCTTGTTTGATTTTCCTCAAAGCCAGAAGAAAGATGATCTAGCGAGGTGTAGAGCAGGACCAAGCTTCCAAGCTCCTGGTGTCATGGGAGTTGCGGTCGCCGCTTCACGTTTCCAACCCAAGTGACACTCTCAACTTCACTTCCTATCCACTTCATCTTTGCTTTATATTCACTACCTGAATTTATCTTATTGTCACTTATTCCTTCATTCCTATTCTTTACTTTTTTCCGGTTTGTTTTTGATTGAAGCGTTGCTTGTTCTTCGTGATTTGCTTTAAGGTATTACTTTTCCGGTAATACTTATTCGTTGCTGAGTAACTGTAACGCAAAAATATTTCTTCTACTCGTAAATTGTTATACATAGAGAATTTTCTTAAATTTTATGATCGACTATGTTCCAATACTTCAGATTAGAAATACGTCTTTTAAGATGGGTTAACTTACCTAGATAAACTCCATATCCAGGGAGGTAATACGAGTTTTTCATTGCGTTTTACATAGGTAAGCTTTCCATGTGATTACCTTGCACGTATGGTGGCATGAGATGTCATTCTCAAATAATTCTCAATTTATTTCACAGTCCCTCCTATTTACAAGAAATGAAGTTCAGTATGAGTAATTATTATGCTATTATAAACCAATTGCAATGTCTTGAAATGCAGGACTACCTTAGCTGAGTGTCACTATTAGCTTGTACATATTCCTAGTGAATATTGTTATACAATGAATCTATTTTCATAATACTATATTTGTAAATGAGTTTGATGAGTGTGTCTATCCTATGCCATTAGTTCTCTTGCACATTTTAATACGGCACTCGCTAAGTTCGAGAAGATAGTGACGCAGGGTTCCTTTAGATCGCAACTTAGTTCCAGTATTGTAGTAGATTTTATGTGCTTGTTGTGTGCATGAATAGTCCTGAGCTGAGCTTGAGCTGTGCGCATGCTATCATTGAACACGATGCTTATACATGAACTGTGCGCATGCCATCATTGAACACAATACTTTTCAAGATAGGACGCACTTGATCTCTAAGCAGTATTTAGGAATAATATCCAATTCACCTTTCGAGTAAAGGACACCATTTATGAGAAATGGATCGAGTGCGTCCTATTAGAGATTTTTGTAACGTATGTTTTCATCCTGCACAACTACACACACGCTCTCCGAGCTGTTGATGTTAGTGCGCTTCTTAGTGTCACATATTCGCTCAAGTAGACACAAGTCAAACCGTTGTCAAGGTCGTTTCGTGTTGCTGATCTGTCATTTTCACGGGACTGCAATGTCTATCTTGCCTGAGGACTTCACTGATACCAGGAGCTAGGAAAGCTTCTCCTTATCGCAATGATGCGTGCACCCCGCTGGCTGGACTAGCCCCCGCTGTCCCCTCCACAAGGAGCGGAGGGCGGGGCGTGGTACAAAATTAACAGAAATAACAAAGACCATTACTGAAATAAGAGAAGAAAAATCCAACTCGGGTGTCTGAAATAAATGCAAGGAGCAATTCCTCAATACAGTGCATGTAACATCAAATGGTTTGGCTGATTCAACGGCGACCATGATTAGTCTGAAAGCTTGAAAAGTCTAAGATATTTTATTTAGGAGTGTATTCATCTCACCAGAGTTATCATTAGCTCCTCTATAGCGAACGAAGGTGAAGACTTTAAGGAGCAGCATCCACCGACCTGTCCGCGCCTCGACACAACTTCAAGATGGCGACGTGTTCGGTATTCCATTTCTGGCAGTTTTGCTGAATAGAATTTGTTGTAGTTTCATTATAATTGGTAAAGCAAGCTGTGGCTGCTGCTCTTGTGATATGTGCTTTTCTATTAGAGTCAAGCTGCTAGTCAATTCTTTACATCTTTTGCTGCGGTATTCGAAGTTTATTTTGGCTACGGCGAGTTTCCAACTGAAGAATTTTTTCAAACTATGAAGACTTCTGGCTTAATTCGAAGTGAATGTTAAAATGATGCATAGATTTGCAATATTCTGTGCTTATAGGTGCCATAATATAATTTTTTGTTGGGTGAAGAGACCAATTTAAAATAGCCGCTCAGAATCTGACTTTTGTGAAAGATATGTTTATCAGAAAGGCTCGTATGAATAAGCTTTTTATTGATGGATGGCTACTGCGATGTATAACTATATAAATAACTTTACAGACACGACGACACTTCATTAACTTCAGACCTTGACACTTCAGTCAAGGTCTTATATGCCTAGCTTAAGATACTATTGGCATATTTTTATATTACGCTTCGTAAAGCTTTGTCATTGTGTCGTCCTGAGGACTTTAATTGTGTTGCCAGTTGGTTTGCCTGTGACGTCATATGCTTGTTCTCATATTGATGCCGTCCCGTCTTGCCTCCTGTACGAGACTGGCGCTTACCTTTACTCTCAAGCCAGAAATTTTCTAAGTGTATGCGTGAGCTTTTTATATGATGTTGCAGTTAATCTACATGCCCAGCTACGTGCTTTCCACTTGTGATAACGTCCCCTTTTCTCTGACGAACCAATTGCTCCGTCGTTATTGAACATAATTTGCCGCTGTGTGGACAGAGGCTGTCGTGTCCCTACGCTCCCTCTCGCTTTTCCCGCGCAGGCTCAATCGGCGCCGCATTCCTTCCATGCATGCGCGGTGTCGCAGCGTATATCTAGCCTGAATTTCGTCCTCAGTTCAACCTCGGTTACGCGCTGTCGGCTTAGCTTTAGCCTGAATTTCGTCCTCAGTTCCGCTCCGGTTACGCGCTTGATCGTTAAGTAGCATTAGCGATATCGTCCTCAGTCCCTCCTCGGTTACGCGCTTTATCGTTAAGTAGCGTAAGCCTAAATTTCGTCCTCATTTCCGCCTCAGCTGCTCGCTGCATCGTTGGGTAGCTTTAGCCTGAATATCGTACTCAGTTCCACCCTGGTTAAGCAGCCTCAACCATCCGCCCTTACCCACACCCTCCTGCTTCAAACTGCACTCCCTCCAGCACTTCGAGGCCTAAAGGAACATTTGGTTACCTATACGCCCGTTTAACGCCTTAGAACCTTGCAAGATCGTTCGCTCTTTCAAATTATTTTATTGTTAAGAATGAGTATGAAAATTCAATTTAATAATCTAATGACTATGCGATGTTTGTACACATATCTTTTAATATTATACTCAATTTTTACTGTTGGATTATAGCTTTATTGAGCGAGTGTGAAGTGAAGTCTTCTGTAGCTTTTTCGGTCCCACACTAATGTATTCAAGCTTTAAAAAGAAAGACCTACCTAATTTAAGAACCGCCTCCCCTGTAACTCTTATAAGCTGTTCATTTGATTAATAACTTGAGATTCTTTACGAATATAATAAGAAAGATTTATGTTGCACGTAATGAGTACGGGCCCAACGCGTTGCAGCGTCCATAGTAAGAGTCCATTACTTTTGTATAATATTAGCAACATGAAAAGGACCAAGTAACTCGCCTGCTATGTTCGCGCATGTCGCCTGCCTCTCAGCTGCTACAAGCCTATGTGCTCTTGTTTACGCCGTGTGTCTCTCTATAGCTGCGTTGTTCTCTAACCTCACGGCATCCACTCAATAAATTAGATTAGCTTGCAGTTTCGAGCTACGGTTAAATAGCTTTTAGGCTCTTGTTGACGATTGTGACGACATAGAAGTTAATATGAGAGCGAGTCTTTACGTCTCCCTCTTCGATATGAATTTTAAGAGTGGATAATTACACGGCACTATTGCTGGCATAATGGCGCTCCCGACATTTTTATTCAGCACAATTTGTTCACTTTTTGCATTAATAATAATGCTATACTATACCTAGACATTACGGTTATTACAATTATTTTTATTGCTATAAATGCATCGTAATCGTAAGAAGCGGAGACTATGCGGAACTACGTAGCAAGCCTCTAAATAAAGCTCGTGGTGATGGTCTGATTATGCAAGGGATTTTTTTAGAACTCATTTTACGATTTAACCAGCGAGCTCGTCGCCCAGTTTACTGTAGGGTCCTGAACATATCCGCAATACACTTTTACTATTGCGAAATTGTTTCCCTCTCTGACAAAGTTTCTAAACAATTCAAAATCTTTGGGTCACTGAATAAAATAGTTATCCAACAGTCATGTGGAAACACGACCACCATAATCTCAACTAGAAAACTCCAGCAGCATCTGTACCTAAGAAAGAAACATGATCCAGGGACCAGGTATTGGCACCTCCGAAATAATATCGGTACATTGTAGTCTGATGTCATTATCGATATGCAAAATTTAGAACCGTACCCCTTCAACTGAGCAGCGTTATATATGTCAGAGGCGATCGTTGGTGAATACACGCAATGTGATATTCAGTAGCTAGTTTGATACGCGTGGCCCGTCTCCCGAACAGCTTCATTATTTCACTAACAAAGGGGGCGTCTTTTGCTAATAAACTCTATAATAAACGTCGTTTCTCATTTACTTTCCCCCTGATTTCAAGGTAGTCAAATTTATGGGTTAGTTCACCAGTTGTCGATTATTTCATTACATGCTGGTATGATGCCGAATGTGTTTCATACACCATAAAAAATGCCATGATTTACAGTTAAGACTTTGCTCTTCCATGCGCTTTGAAAATCATAAAATTATAACTGCATGCAACTGAACAAATTTTACAGCGAGATGAACGACTGAGTCCTGCACGATTTGGAAAACAAAATCATAGTTCGTGTTTTATCAAAACTTGCTTGTGCTAATCCCACGACACGAGGGTTTTCACTGCTACAGTTACAAATAAAATTTTCATTTAATATAAAAAAATCGAATGAAAAAGGCATAAATCGGCGAATTTAACCGGGAAAAGGCGCGTTTAGGAACCCTGGTTTTCATCTTCCGTAGCGTCCGCTAGTGTACAACCCCGTCCGCCACCACACTTCCCGAGCGTTCAAGAATATGCTTAGAAAATTGCAGGTAGTCCGAAAAATATAGCAATGCTAAATATATATGCTTCATTTATGCTTTATCGATTTTAGTATATCTGAACTAATATTAACCACCTAAAAACCAAAGCCGACCTTGGTATATAGGAATGATGCTTTTGATTGTTGGTGAACATAAATTGGTATGAAGGTAAAAACCGCAGGATTGAAACCTCAAACTATCGTCCGTCTAAAAACAGCGGTTGTTGTAATAAGTTTACGATAACTTTGAGTTTATTTGCTAGTTAATTTGGAACACATTTAAGGTTGTAAAAATTCTCATGAGGAGTTATTCTTGCAAATTAAAAATCAACCGAAGTATAGATGTATGAAACAAGTTCTATCAAAATAATCTGTATATTGACAATAAATGAAATCTCGATCAAAAAGAAATTATTAAAATCCCAACATATATCAAGAATATAATTTATATCGATCATATTGCTAGTGCCGCTTATGCTGTTCATTCAGATAAGCTTCTCCCATAGATTGCATCTATATCGAGTTTATTAGTTTTTTTAATATATTCAATAATTATCGTTGCGTATGGAGTTTAGCATTTTTTATTGAACAAATGTTAGCATAAATAGTTTGTTATGTCAACGCACCGACGGAGGAGCTACAGGCGGCAAAGAGAGGTCAGGCGCAGCTGTGGAGAGAGCGGCCACCCCAGACGCGCGTATTGGTGCGGGTGGTGCACAATGAATGGGTGAGGTAGCAAGCGTCATTAAAGAGCACTTGGGAACAAAGAGTGCCATAGAAGGAATGTTTACAGTAAAGAGGTATTGAAAGTACGTATTTAAGCGATAAATTCGTTGAGAATGTACAGCACGGCGTATTGACATTAATTATTACACGACTGTCCTCACGCATATCCGAAAACGAACTCATAAATGTAGACAAATCAAATAAAATGCGATTATGGAGTAGTCAGAAACTCTTCAAAATTGCAGGGTATTTCTCCCTATGCAGAGAGCCATCGCCTTCCGAAATTTCTTTCACAAGAAGTAACAAGGAATGAAGATAGTAACGAGAATTAAATGTAGTTCAAATAGATTTTATTTTATTTTTTCTGATGTACAAGATGCAGTTTCTTCCGTCGAGGCAACCACAAAATATTCAGCATTCAGGTAAACTTCATGGCGGCCGCGACTTGGAGTTTTGAGGGAGACATACTGAATAAGGTAATGCGTAAAATTAATACCAAAGAGATTAGAGCACATTACTGTGAGTATTTCAGATTTTCACTATCTCAATAATTCAGGGTGAAGCTCACCTTATTTAAATCACAATAAGTGCACGTAGGTGTTGCTATTATGTAGGCAGTTTAAAGGCAATATGAAGGTCTTTATAGGTAGATTTATATGCGGTCATTTAAGGTAATTGAGAACCGCAAAAGATTAAAGTTTAAAGGTCGACACAGTTCTCAATTTAAAGCACCATAACCTACTTTTGAACATTTTGACACTACATACAAGGTTTATGAGTTAAGGTAGAGTTCAAGATTCAACTGTAACCCGCCATTCAAAGTAACAATAATCCGCCAAAGTTAACGAAGTTGAAATGAGAATTTATAATGCTGATCAAGCACAAGTTAAGTATTTAGCAGCTATTCCTTCAAGGGGTATAGCAGCCACTAAGCTTGACGGGCCAGCCAAGATGTTCGTAAAATGAGATGAAAAACGCATGCACCATTTAACTGAAGAGAAAAAAAACAAGGGTTGTGTACAACAACTAAGGACCTTAATGAAATATTCAGGAAATTATGGTGCGACACAAAGTAACAAGGAAACTGGAGTCATCGTCTCTGTTCACTTTATGATAAACTATCTGGGAGCAGCCCCTCTCTTAAAAAGACAGAGCCCGCTCTAATTCTCTACTGTGAGCATCAAGAAGTCCGCGGGTGGGAATTTTTCCCAACAAAACTCCGTAAAATACGTTATAAAATTTGAACACTTTCATACATCCAAAAACTTCAAAGGCAAAATTAAACTTTTTATTTATAAATACATTCCACGGAGCCGGGATTTCACTGCAGTGAAACGTCTGAGTTATGTTCGCCAAAACTCCATTTGATCAAAACGTTACAACGGAAAATAATTTATTATATCAATTGAAATTAAATGCATCTAGACGTTGTGAAACAAATCACTTTTAATCAGAAATGAGAACTACTTGGTTCAATTTGTTGTATATAGTTATCTTCCAGTCTCCAGAAAACCCTCTAGCGTTCCGCCGATTGGTTCGGTAAATTCTATTTAGGAGCAAAATAATCACTGAGGCAAGTGTGATGACTATAGTCGATGATGGGCCCATGTTGTGTGAAGTGGGGACAGGTCTTTGCAGAGGCTTCAGGTTTGCTGGCCCTATGGTTTTCAACACTTAATTGCTGCTATTCCTCAGGCGTGCTTACCCACGGAATGGTGATACCCAAATAAAAATTGAGAGTGGAGCACCTATGTTTTTATGGTGGCTATCGGCGGACCCCATAGGTGGAGCTTATATGATTTATACAGTGAATTGAGGGTGGCGTGCACCACTTATCCCACACCTATAACCTGCCAATGGCCACCACACCCGTAAAGCTCTTCGTACATCAATACATACCCATTGGCACCGGTGGCGCATCAATGAGCTGATTCATAGATGACTGCCACCTTTACTCGCCACCCTTTCGATTTATTGATGTTTTATTGTCGATTTTTGGCAAATCTGGCCACTCACCGTTACGCCACCTATAAACTACTATCGCCACCTATAATCATCGGTGCACCACCCTTAATTTTTATTTGGGTAGTAAGTAAATTGTGAGCTGAGCATTGCTGGATTCTAACGTGCATCCTTGTAATATCAAATGTTTAAAACTATCAAGTAAAAATGCAATTATCCTGATCGCAATGCATTTAAAAGTGCGTTTGAGAAACTCATATTTCTTTTTTTTTTCAATTTGTTCAGTAGATTTTAAGAAAAGTTTTTAAATTTCTATATGCTCACCATCAATTGATGTACTAAGAATTCTAACCAACTAGTTATTTTATGATTTGAAGAGTACATGTGAACGATCCAAAACATACCACATCTGTTGACAAAAAACACGATGAACCATCAACTCGTATTGACAAAATTACCGTGCAAAATAATCCTTCGACAGGACGAACGAGATCAATATGCCTTGCTTATGAGCTGGGCAATATCAACATTTTGTTGACGATGCAAGATAACCTGCTGTGTAACAATAATAATTTGAACGCTTCACTTCCACCTCCTGATCCATAACATTGGAATAAAGTCAATTAGTTCAAGAAGTATTTACTTATAGATCCAATTGATTAAGACACAATAAAAATTCGTCCAGGATTTTTATCAGACCTCAAGCCTACGATGAATATTGAAATCTGAATTATACACTCTCTCTATCTTTCTTACTCTCTCTCCGAGCAAAATTGGTCAATAGCGATGTGATATTTTACTATTTTCACAGTACTGATGAGAAGTGCTCTTAGTCACTTGAGTTCTCTTTAATCTTCTCACTAATGTTCACACTAGTGTTCTCTCTTACCTTCTCACATATGTTCACACTAGTGTTCTCTCATATCTTCTCACATATGTTCACTCTAGTGTTCTCTCTAATCTTCTCGATAATGTTCTCACCAGTGTTCACCAGTCTTCAAACTAGAATTATTATTCTTCATGGTATCTAATTTATATTCTCACTAGTGCTCAAATATTTCAAAATTATTTCCTCCAATAATAATTTTTTCAGTTTATGTTTCCTTGACATGTCACTTAATTGGCCACCGTTGATCCGATCAATAAATAAATATAATCGTGAGTAATCACTCGTTGTCATGTTGAGCTGTTTCTTATGCAAAACCAAGCATCTGTCCTCTCATTTCGGTAAAGACGTATTTGCACTGTAGATTATTATTTATTCAAAACTTGAGTCGCGTAAAGGAAGGCTCAAGGTTTTGCTGCTGCTGCTGATTCGAGGGTCTGCTGCTTAAACACTATTAGCTTTGAGAATACACTGAAACAATGACTTTTGTACCAACTGAATTATTGACTTGCAATGTTATATGATTATATACTAGTCACAAAGCAATCGGATAATGCATGCATTCTGGCAAGCCGCGAGGTCACGCGTTTCAGAGATTAATGCCCGCAATGTACTTGGAATCAATAATGATTTACAGACGGCATCACATAGACTTTGTTACATCACTCGGAAGGTATTGGAAGCTTCTGGCGTAAAAATGTAATTCTAGTATGCTTTTCCAAGCTGAATATCGTAGTGCTTGTCAACATTCTATCAAACGCCTCGATCGGTATGAGAAACCATTTTTCTTGTCGCTATTTGGCCGGCAAACAAAGTCATATGTTCCTAGCCACTCACAACGCATTCGGCAATAAAGTATGCTAACGCCTTCAAAACGCAATGTTCACTCGTCTCTACAACCGTCTGCTTGAATTAACAATAACATTATCGA